CAGGCTGGTCTTGCCAGGGTAGAGGACGTCCTTTAGTCGCTCGTATGCGCCATAGGTGATGGCAGGGTTGACGACAAGGACGAGACTGGCCTTTAGACCGCGCCAGAGACCTGATACCCCATCTGGACCATCGACAACCTCACGAGCGGTGTCTATGAGACCTTTGCGGTCGCATTTGCTTGCCGTTTGCTGGCGCGTAGTAACAACAGCAACAGGAATGGTAAAGACCTGGGCAATGGCTCCGGCGACAGCACCCAAAGCGAGCTCGACCACGGTGGAGGGGTGGATGTCTGTCTTGCGAGACTTGAAATATAGGGTCCTGACAATGGTGTACCAGTAGAAGTAGGCAAAGTTGGTTGAGGCGACACCAATCAGAGAGCCATTCATGCCAGCATAGAGTCCCTTGATTCCATCATCGGCGACAATACGCGAGATGGCATCCCATGTCGAGCTATAGTGTGGTTCATCGGACGAGGAAGGGCCTTTTGAAGGATCGGGCTTGACTTGAACTTGAAGACGAGTTTTGACACTATTTCGAGAGTCAGTCTTGATGTATAGTACGGAGAAAAGACCATATCGAAATACACAACTTACATATCGAGGGGGTAGACCAGCGCGTTCGCAAGAACAGCACCCGTAGCTCCAGCGACAGCGCGGCCCCAGGGGGAGATCTCAGGCTTCGATTGCGCAGCCATTTTGGACGAGCTGTGAACAAATATGAGATTTGCCTCAAGTGCGAGATGGGGAAGGGGAAGGGGAAGAGGAAGAGACACACAGCTCACACTAAATGTCTATTCTATCGCGGCGTTGTACTTCCTGGGCCGGTCCATAATTATCTACCTACGTAAGTACCTTAGTTATTAAACGGTCCGCTACCGGTTCGGGGCCGAGGTTCGAGTCTACCGGTCTCGGCAGATTTGGTGGGCCCCCGCCTGTGATTCGACCCGCGGGATGGAACCTCGGTTACCTAGTAGTGAGCCTCTCCCTAAGATTTCTGGGGACTCAGGCTTGTGCCTCAGGTCCCTCCCTACCAACTGACTCACTACTAACCTTAGTACTAAGTACCTAACTGTTAGTTACTTAGTACTAAGGTAGGCTAGTAGGCAAGGTAGACGGTCAAGGTAGGTGAGGTAATGAATGACGTTGATATGGAGATCAGATGCACTGGAGAAAGTGAGGTGATTTATAACTTTAATTTAAAGCGTCGGCGTCAAAGACAACGTCTGTTGCACAAGCTTAGTACTTAGACAAGCCCTGGGCTCACAATCTGATAGTGTGAATCATATGAGATGAGAGAACATTACACCAGATGACGTACAAACAACCTACCTAAGCAAGTACCTAGGTACTAAGGTAAGGTACCTACCTATCTGAAGCCATTGAATACCTACCCTGCTTATCTCGTTTTCTTCAGCAGTTCTTTTTCCAAATATTTCCTCCTGGTCATAGTGAGTGACACTTATGGCATTGCATCTGTCTCAACGACAGACATGCTACATGTCGATGCAGCAGAGCTCTTTTGCTGAGTGGAGAAGGTATTGGGCGCAGCAAACAGTAGCAGCCCCCACCGCGGGGTTCGCTGCTCTCTGAAGTGTTTGGTTATCTCGAGTCATTCATTCATTGTTCATTCATTGTTCATTCATTCATTGTCAACGTCAATCAATCAAGCCTGGCAATGATTGAGGCTATGTTGCAGTAAAACGGAAATGGAGAAGAGAGCTCAGGTCAGTATGTCCCAAGACGCGTGCCCTTTCTTTCTTTCATAACGGCGATCCTCGATGTGTATTATTATATTACATCATCGCCCGTCCGTTGTCGCTTCATCTGTCAACTAACCCTATATCCGTATCACAGGCCACTGAGTCTCTCATCCGAACATCGAGTGGCCAGGCCGCCCTCGATTATGCTGTTCAGGCTGCAGAGCTGTACATGCGAGCTGCTGGAGAGGCTTTGACCAAAAAGGATGCCGCTCGTTTGCGATCGAAATGTCAACAACTCATTGCTCAGGCTGAGAAGCTCAAGGCTGAGCTCACACAAACTCCCAGTGTCTTGTTACGGACCTCAAAACTTCACTCTAATCTCTTTCCCCCATGGACGAAAGAACCCTCGGACGAAGAATTCCAGCTTCTCCCTGGCGATGAGCCTTTCACGTAAACGGAAACCCTGCCTGATACAGTCTGTTGTAGCTTTGGCTGAGTTTGATATAGTGATAACGCAATCTTCACACTGTCACCGAGGCAGACTGCTACGTTTGGTGGATGGAAGCGTCCAAGAGACCTACACGACCATGTCGAAGCCGACGATGACGTTTTCATGAACTCAAGTAGCGGTTGCGATCTGGTTCAAGATGTGACCACGGATTGTTCTGTAGTAGCCAGTCTTTGTGCCGCTATGAATATCTTGACTGGTCGAAAATCGGTAGGGCGTATCGAGATGAATCTGCCAACGAGCGTCCACTGATAGTCTACAACAGATTCTCTCGTCCATCTTGTATCCCTTTGACAGCGCAAAGAGAACACCTAAAGTATCTGCTTCTGGCAAATATGTCTTGAAACTATACTTCAATGGGTGCTTCCGCCGGGTTGTGATCGATGAGCGGCTTCCGTCTTCCACCAGTGACCGAACTCTCTATGTTGTTGATCGAATCAATCCTCAACTGATTTGGCCTGCACTCTTAGAAAAGGCATACCTCAAAGTAAGAGGAGGATATGACTTTCCGGGGAGTAACTCAGGCACAGACTTGTGGGTTCTCACAGGATGGATCCCGGAACAGATCTTTCTTCAAAGGTGAGCACGTTTCGTTATCTCTCTTCACACACATTGCCACCATAAACTTGCTTTACAACATGGACTCACCTCTCAATTGCTCTTACAGAGAAGATCTAGAGGTTGATAAGCTCTGGAGACGAATCAAGAATGCACATGACTCTGAGAACGTGGTAGTCACCTTGGGTACTGGTCGAATCTCTGCAGAAGAAGAGGATATCCTGGGTCTTATTGGAGAGCACGACTATGCCGTCATGTATCTTGAAATGATTGGTGACAGCCGGAGGTTTTTGGTCAAGAACCCTTGGTGTGACGGACCAGTTTGGAAAGGAGGCATACCTCAGCCTTTTGCTGTCGAATCGCCAACCCCATATGCCGCCAACCCTCAACGCCAACCCCCCCCCTCAGTCGCTGGCTCTTTCTGGATGACTCTGGAAGATGTCCTCCAACATTTCGAGTCCATGTACCTGAACTGGAACCCTGCTCTATTTCCCCATCGTCAGGATCATCACTTTACCTGGCGCATGCCTCCCCCGGAGTTGTCTTCATCGTTGGTTCGCAACCCACAGTACTCACTCCAGTCGCCAGCTGGGGGGCCAGTGTGGATTCTCGTGAGTAGACATTTTGTGGATGAAGAGTTGGAAATTGCTCGGAACAGGACCGACTCAATGGCAGCTGCCTCTGGACAACTTGGTTACATGAGCATTCTTGTCTTCGAAAACGACGGCCACAGGGTGCAAGTAAGCGACGGTGATGTCTATCGTGGACCTTATGTCGACTCTCCGCAGACTCTCGCTCGTTTCGACACGAGCCCAGGGAGACGATATACCATCGTTGTCGACCAGCACGAGTTCCCGCTACCAGACTACACTCTCACACTCTCATTTCTCTCCCAAGGTCAGCTTGCAGTCAAAGAAGCGGAAGACGCAATGACTTGCACAAGGGAGGTTGCTGGTTCTTGGACCAGGAGGACTGCAGGAGGCAGTGCAGCCTGCACGACCTACGCTACAAACCCCCAGTACAAGCTATCACTTGCCCAGGCAGGGCCTTTATCTGTCCTACTATCAACAAATATGCAGGATATCCATGTGCATATCGATCTAGTCTGGTCCCAGGGCAAGCGGGTGCAGACACTCAAGGCTCGGGATCTTGCGGGCTCATCTGGGGAATATCGTCGAGGCTGTGCTGTGGTCAACATCCCACTAATTGATGCCGGAGTGTACACTGTGGTGTGTTCGACTTTCGATCAAGGTCAATCGGCAGACTTTGTCCTCCGCATTTCATCCATGGCGAACGTGGAAGTACAACCCGTACCCGCCGATGCTGCTGGCAGACTCCGCAAGACACTGGGCCCTTTCCAGCTCTCAGATGGTGAAGACGTAAGGCGTGCGCAATTATCGGCATCTTGGTTAACTCGAATGAGTGTCACAGCACGCAGTGTCACGAGCCCGGGTATCGATCCTAGTAACCGACCCTCATCAACTCTAATGGTACGAGTTTCCGTGGCTCATGGATGGGACCCTGAGCGAATCACGATCACAACTTCAGGCGACGGCGAATACGAAGAACTCAAAACAATCGTACGAACCCCTGAGCTTGATATGGAACCAGCAAGGATACAGCGGGAGGGCATGTGGTTAGTGATTGAGAGTATGGGCACACCTCAAGTAGGAGAGTGCATTGAGATAGAGATTCATAGTGATGGTCCTGTTAATGTAGGGCCGTGGGCGCTCGTCTAGCCAGAGTCCCTGTGCTTGTCAGTGAATTTGAGCACACGTATGTAGGGTACATATATCGCATAACAAATGCGAAGCACGAGATGATTGAAAACATGCATCAACTGAGAGAAATGATAAATATATGTTCAACACAGCATCATGCTGAATATAAAGGAAGAATCGAACAAGGTGTACGCTCGCTAGCCAACGCCACACTGGCGCAAGTGGTATACTCCTAGAAAATAAAATACTGAACGAAATCTGACCCAACCGGGTATTTGAGATCCTGAACGCCTTGTCTGTACCTCCAAATCCTCACTCCGCTTAATCAATGACCTTTGGCAGCATGCGAGAAGCCTTCAGTCGCCCGACCCGTCAAATCGCCAGGTACTCATACACATAACGCCAAAGCAAAGAGCGTTTCCCATCACATTTCGGTTGGCGTAAATCGTTAATCGTGCTCGTTCAACGTCCCCTCCCACCAGCCAGGCTCGTATGCCAACCTACAATAGTCGTTTACGCCGGTGGGCCGCGTCTTCTTCGACCACGGTTAGGTCCATCTGGTCGCTGAGCAAGAACATCTCTCAGTTGCGGGTCGTCCTTGTCTTTGTCTATATGATGAACACGGACGTGTCTAGGAGTGGTCAGTATCATTACTCTAGTTGAGAGGGCATATCTAGCTGCAGCACCGATATGGCCTGGCGAATTGACATACCGCTGAAGATTATCTGGGCGTGGATATTTGTGTTCCCTGTCCGGGCAAAAGGGGCAGACGTAGCCTGGGGAGTCATGAACCAGTCCATGTCTTATCATTTCATTCTTTCTTTTGAAGCCCTTGCCCCCTTCACTTCTTGGACAGCCTTTGACTGGACAATAGTGTGGCCGTATAGATGAGTGTACATTCATGTGAGAGTTGAGGAGATACTGGGTCTGGAAAGGCGCCGCGTTGCATCCAGTAACCGTGCACGTATATGAGCCGGAAAGAGGCTGCGGATGTGTGATCCCATCAATACTCATTCGATCAGTAATTGAGGCTGAGTTGATTGAGGTTGATGTGGCAGGGGTGGAAGCAGAGTGATCGGTATTCGGAGTCTCGCCAGCATTGCTACTACTGTATTCGGTCGGAGCGCGAGGGTGAGAACCGTTTGTCGGATAATAATGCATACTCGCACTTGGCGCAGAGTGAGGGGAGAGTGTTCGGTATCCATCTGGTGGTGAACGGGGCGACGATGGGAGATTAGTATTCAAACTAAACCTATGCCCTAAATTTGCAGCTGGAGAAGTAGGGAAAGTGGAAGATAGACCTGGAGGGACACGGCCAAGATCCTGCTCGGATGGGCGCTCTGGGTGCAAATCTCGGAGCTCACCAAAAGTCGAACGAAGAGACGGGAGAGACTGTGATGGAAGAGTCTCCTTGGACTCGCCTACTGGAGCGCGAACTCCATGATGAAGCGGCGGCAAGGGTCCATTAGAGGAAGATATCAGTGGCGACGTGACTCTATTACCGGAAATGTATCGCGGTGCAGACAAACCGTTGATCGGGGGCTCGTCATGAATAGAAAGCTGCCCAGTCGGTATCGATATATCGGGGATCGTTTTTGGGACCGAGGCGGCGAGGGACGGCGGCGCTGTCGCAATAGAAGCAGCCTGTAGAGCGTCAGCGGCCAGGTGCTGGAGCCGAGGCCCGCTCATGAGATTGCCGTCGACGGCCCGTTCTCGCCGTGGCTCTTCATCCGGTGAGTCTTCGTCGCCCGGAAGACTCTCGCGGGCAGCTTCTCGTGCTATATCGGGATCGCGTCCATTGTCGAGATATGCGACTAGGACAGCATCCCCAGAAGTGGGACGAACCTTGTGGCGATTAGACTTGCCGCGACCGTCGATAGAGGTGGGACTCAGACTGACTTGAGCTGCAGGAATATCTGGGGGAGGACTTGGAGACGGCTCGAGCTTTGGACGAAGCGGGGTCATGAGAGGGCTTCCTCGAGGAACCACGTCATCCGGGTCGTATGTATCGACAACGAAGCCGAGATGGGGTTGTGGTGGTTGGTGCTGGTGGTGCGTAGCTGTGGTCATCTTTGTCGCGTTGACGGTGGTTGCTCAACTCGCCATGGCCCCTCGTGGGGGGTTTAAAGCGTTCGGGAGCTCTTGATCAGTCGGTGGGATCTTGCGCCTGGTGAATGGCCGTGGTGCGACTTGAACGGTAACTGCACAACCAAAAAAAAAGCTTGGTGAGTCGGAGGGTGCGAAGGGAAGGAGCGGTCGAATAATGATATCGTGGAATTGGACGCAGATGTGCGCGCACCACTCTGGGTAGACAACTTGCCAGCGAATATTCGTATACTAACGTTGGTCACTCAACATGAGCAACAAATACCACCCAGGCGGCGTCTAAATGAGAACAGCACAGTTCTTGGCGCCGGTAAGTTATCCAGGCAGGTTGAGGTCGGATGTGAGTCGCAAATATGGCTGTAAGCGTAGGTTAGATGGGATTTGCGGCGTAAATGCGGTGAACTTGAAGTGCCAGGCTGAATGCGAAAAGAGTGTGGCTAAATACGGTGGTGAATCTAGCCGTGGTAATGCGCGTAATTTGGGGGATGTAGTGTAGCCGTTGCCGATATGATAGTCGTCCAAATGAGCGCTTGCGCGATAACACATACAGAGAGAGAAGCGGAGTTGAATCGCTGGATCCTCCGTTGTCGTTTGGCCCAGGGAGATGTGACCAGTAGTAAGACCGATTGAGATGATTGATACTGGAAAGGTACTCTTTGATTGGCAAGATTAACCTCGAGGTCAGACCTGAGGCGTCGATATGTAAGGTATGTGTGTGTGTGTGTATGTATGTACAGCACAACAGCCAGATGAGGCGAGGTAACAGCTGAGACGTGAATACCTAGGTACTAGGTAGGTAAGGCAGGTAACGGGACGTTTGAGCAAACTCCATTTACCGAGTTATTTCAGAAGGAAGAGTGCGGAGCAAAGTGAAAAATCCGGGGGATTGAATGTATTTACTTTAGTAGTTTACCTCACCTTTCCTTATTCCTGGGAGCTGGAGCCCTACCTGTCCATGTACGTACAGTAATTAAGTACCTTACATTGCTAACCTGCCCAGGCTACCTTACTACTGCTCATGGTCCTGCTCCTGCTCCTGCTCCTTCCTAGTGAGTATGGAGTATGCCTCCACTTGTTGACACCATGTTATGGGGTTTGAGAGCAGTCCATTTTAGAGGAGACGGGGGAGGCTACAAGACACGGAAAATGGGCACGGGCAGTTAGGTACAGCACAGTGCCAACTACGCCCCGAGATGATGTTTGAATTAGGTACGAAGGACTGGAAGTGAGTGGAAGAGAACTTTCCCTGGATGAGGAGTGAGGAGAGGACTCGCCGGGGCTGGGGTCCCGGGAAGGTTAGAAGTGTTCAAACTCAAGGGCCGGCAGGAGCATGGGGAAGATGCGGGATGGGGTAAAAGGTGGTAAATATTCGGCCCTTGGTTATCTGTAACATGTGGTAGGTTGGTTGAGGACAGGGGGGTCCGAGATGGGGCTCTGCTGTTGCGGCTGGCCTGGCAGGCCCTTGAGCCCTGAACCTGGGGACCTGACCTGGACCTTCACTGGCTGGCTGGACTGACTGGACTGGCTGGAATGGATGGACTTGGGGACCTGGCTAGCCTGGCCGGCTGGGTCTGGGGCGGGCACATATTTTGATGACAGAAACAGAACGCGGTACGTCCGTCGAATGTCTGAGCAACCTCTCCGCTGAATGGCTGACTTTGGTGCTCCTCTGTGCTAGTGCAGGCCACCCGACAGTGCCATTATGGGTAATTCTGTGAGTAATTGGATCATTTCCAAAGTACCTAGTGTGTCTCTAGCGAGATCTTTCATTGAGTCCTCCGTTATTATTGCCTATGCACGCTTGACCGACATACATACATACATACGTGAAGGTTGTGTGACCGAGGGACGTCTCGATGATATGGATTGGATGCCACTTGTACCACAGAATGAGCCTCACCTTGAACTGCAGCGAGGGTCTCTCTAGCTCGATATTTGTCTTTATATTGTCGCATCTGTCTCAGGTATAAGGAGTGTTCGCTTCGGACTCGAGTCTTGAGTAAGTCGTGGCCAAAAAGAGAGGTCAAAATCCAGGATGCGTCCGCCGAGGCCTCCCTCCCCCTCTCTTGATACCCCACTGGGGTGACCCGTCTAAGCCTCAACGTCCACTGCCGTGTCGACATGTGTGTGATGCGATGCATTGGCACGAGGCCGAATGGACGAAGACTTGGTCAGTATGTATGTATGTATGCCAGTCAGGTAAGATGGTGAGACTCGAAACGGTGTTCGACTCGCTGTTGTTTAGTCTTGTTTGTCCTTTTCATCTTTTGAAATCTTCTCACCTGGCAGACTCGAAAATGACCTCGTGATCAATCGGAAGTATTCAGGCGTGATGATCTGTGCCGAGCCAAAAAGAGCCGCCTCGTCTGACATCCAGTGTCCGTCAGTCTTCAGATAAATATCTCGCGCACTCAACGCCCTCTAACGGACTGTCCCGCTTTGCGAATCGGAGTCTGATTGGCTGACCCCGGAGACTGCCCCAGCCGCAGGACGAGGGGAAGTGGACACTTGAACAAAAGTGGGTAACCTCAAAGTGCGTGCCCCCGGGCCCCTTCAGGCTGTGGGGTATCCAGCTACCGTGTATCGGATAATATCACGCACTGTCCGTGTCTCTTGAGTCGCAAGATTAGAAAAAAGGGCCGTTTTTGTTGTCATTGGACCCTCCGCAATTTTCCCACAAAAAGCGGCTCTCTCTCATCCTGGAAACTGAACTCACCATGCCATGACCGATTCTGCGTTGCCGGCCGCGGGAGCTGTTAGCAAGCAAGCGAGCGAGCGAGCACCCCTTGGGCTACTTCAATGCAATAACAAAGAAGGTAAAATAAGCGAGAAGTCGATGTGTGCTTGCTTGCTTACCTGGGTACAGTAGCAGGGTATGTACGGAGTAGGTAAATTGAACTAAGAAGGACAAAGACAATTGATTGATGGGGCTTGATTTTGTTCTAGAAATCTGATAGAAACGCGCGACTTAAATGACGCAGTGATTCTGTCACATCACGGGTACATGCTTCTAAAGCTCGCTCCCGTTCCATTGTCGAAATTAAGCAGAAGTGTCAGTCAGCCAGCCTCTAACCTGACCAATGATTAGCTTTCTTCATTAATCAGACACACACTCAAATTAACTATCTAGGCCTAGTCGAGGGTGCCCCGGGGCTTAGCCTGAAGTTTGCTGTGACTGACTCGTTAACCCATGGTACTTAGTTGGCCGACCACATGAGAAGTTGCGAGGAAGGCCGCACGATGTAGGTATTTGAGTAGTACCTATTAATGACCATCATTATAAGTCCGACTAGCAGATAATGCATTCAACATTGGGTACACCAATACCTGACTATTTAATTGTATATATCTAAATAATTAAAGTATTCGCAAACTGGTCCCAGTTCATCATGGTCTTTCCTCCATGTACAGTTTCATAACCACCAGATACCGAATTTGGCCCGCGGGAACTGCTCCAGTAGCATTTTCATCCCAACCAAGCCTTAAAGGTATGTGTAATTAGGTACCTACCATGGGTCCCTAACTATATCATATTGTCCTCTACACTCTGTTGACTGCATAAATGACATGCTCATCGCCTTCATGATCACGGATTGAGGACTTTCGTTAGTCCAAGCACCCTCCACCTTCAAACTACAGCCCATGACATGCACAGCAGTTGCAATTTTATCATGATACCCCACTACAGTACGGACACCACAAATCCTGCTATCTTTCGCCGATGGCGGAACACGTAACCCCACCTCGGTCCTCACAAAACTAATAATATGTTCGATCATTGAATGAAGTTACAACAACTTAATTGGTATTTCTTTCGAAGAAGCTAGGCCCCTTTCGCGAGGAGTTTGCTGTCCAATTTGCGCCAACACAGCGTAGTCACTTGTTAAGCCCATCTCACATCATCGTCAATAACCTTGACAAACCCGTAAACCAACATCATGTCTCTGCCATCGACCATGAAGGCCGTGGTTTTTGATGGTCTGTATAAAATATCAGTGCAGGAAAGGCCAGTGCCTCAGCGTAAGTTGACCAGTCACCCGGCTTCAGACCTGTCATTATTGAACGAGAGCTATTTCGACTACAGCTAACTCGATGTAGTTCGAGATGAGAGGGATATCATTATCAAAGTTCATGCCGCTGGCCTGTGTGGATCGTAAGGGCGTCATCATCCTCCAAATGCTGTCCCATTTGCTAAGTAGAGCCCCAGGGAACTTCACATCTACCGTGGCCATCAGCCTTCAGATACTGGCTTCATCATGGGCCACGAGTTCACCGGAACGGTCGTCCAGATTGGGTCAGCTGTAAAGACAATCAACATCGGTGACAAGGTCGTTGCTCCCTTTACAGCTTCCTGGTGAGCTCTCTCCTCCGCCGTCCGGTTCTCGTGCTCATAAGAAACTACAGTGGCAACTGTTTCTTCTGCAATAATGGTTGCTCAGCCCGTTGCGTTGAGAGCCAGTTGTTTGGCTGTGAAACTCTTGACGGAGGACAAGCCGAGTACGTTCGGATTCCCATGGCCGATGGAACTGCCGTCAAATCCCCCGGGACTATCTCAGACCAGGCTCTCCTTCTCATGGCAGACATCTTTCCCACCGGATTCTATGGTGTAAAGAGCGCCGCAGAATTGATCCCTTCCCAGAACATTCAGGATGCCACACTAGTCGTCATAGGTTGTGGCCCGGTTGGGCTTTGTGCCATCCTAGCAGCCACCCATTTCAAGCCTCGCCACCTCTTTGCCATCGATAGTGTCAACAGTCGTCTGGAGCAAGCTCGAAAACTGGGTGCAGAGCCACTGAACTTTGAGACAGACAGAGCAGGGCTAGAAGCTAGAATAAAGGAGGTGACAGAAGGACGAGGCGCGGATATGGTAGTTGAAGTTGTTGGCCAGTCCCCAGCTTTAAGGACTGCATTCGATATCGTGCGACCTTTTGGTGCGATTAGTAGCATTGGTGTCCACAACAAAGAGGTATGGTAGCAGAAGGCAACGATGGCCAGGGACAGGAGCTAACATCACAATGCAGATTCCGTGGACGGGCGACGATGCGTATACGTCTGTAACGCCTTGGGATGCTTTATGTAGAGAACTGACTGGCTGACCTTGTTGCAGAAAGAATATTCGAGTGCAAATGGGTCGCTGCCCAGTCCGCAGCGTCTTTGACGAAGCCCTCAAGTTGCTGGAGCAGAAACAAGACCAGATTGGGTGAGTTTTGAGTTGCCGTTGGAGATGCTTCAACAGCTAACATCACCGTAAGCTTCCTGTTCGACCACATCATGCCGCTTGCACAGGCTCCTGAAGGATACACTCTTTTTGAGCAGTGTAAGACGCAGAAAGTAGTATTCACATTGTAACGCAAAATACAAGCCCTAGATTAAGAGGCCGGTTTAGTTTTGCCGAGGCTTGACCATGCCCTCATGCATTAGATAGTAGACAACCGTGGAATCGTTATGCACGATGGCTAGAACAAGCCTCTTCTCTCGTGGGCCATTGCGCTCGACCGAGTCAAAAATCTCGGAGAATCTCTTGATAGACCACTTCTCTTCGGGATGTACTGCCAACACCCATTCGAGCTCCGGTGTCTGATCCAGAGGTTCCCCAGTGGTCCTCTCACGTTCCAGGGCAGCGATCTGGTCATCAGGGTGGGTGTAAAGCCGTTTCGGCGGCAAACCTCTGATCAGAGGTCGCTGAGTTGTTGTTTCATGGATTTTGAGGGAGACCCAATCATGCTGATATTGCAGATTGTATACAACTATTGAAGTGACGTTTGAAACCGGGTCACTTGAGGGATCCATGTTGAGCATGACTACTGCTGACCTTTGTGTGATGTCCACGTAATGAGTGCCAAGGGAGGCGGATGATGAAATTTGATACGGATCAGGACCAAGAGGAGTGTGTGCGCGGAAGCCAAATATGCGTGTAAAGGGGCGAGGCGCGGCTCTGCGACGAGGAAAAGAAAGACCCGAGCTTGAGAAATCGGCGGGTATTTTCACAAAAGTAGCGAAGAAACGTTGAAAGGCCGAAACCCAGTTGTAAGAGAGGTTGATGGAATTTCAAAACCTCGTACGAAGAGGTAAATGCTACCTTTTTTATGGATCAAGTGAAGGTGGATAGCAACACCCGCGAAGAGTGGGGTATACCTAAGCACGTCCAGCGGACCTTCATGATTGAACGAAGTGAACCTCCGCGTATTCACATTTTCACATGCTCGTTCCATGAGAATTGGGGTCGTTTAGACTTTTGTGTCTCAGCAGGAACTTCGCTTTGCCTGTAATTGACCAATGCTGACCCCCCCGGCGTTGCCGTGAACCGTCAGTACTAAGCTTCAGTGCTTAGGTAGGTAGACACCCTTAGTACCTAGGTACGAGTAGCTTGGTTAGTAAAAGTAAGGTAAGGTACCTAAGGTAGTGATTGATTGACATCCACTATCCACGTTGGCATTAGACCCTGAGAAAGGATCTAGATAAATGGACAAGTCCCACCGTTGCTAGGCACGTTGATGTGGATCACAATCGCATTCCATCCTCTCTCTTTATCTTTGTACCTATACAGACAGACATCTTGATTTACTGAAACAAGCACCAACAACTTCAGTTACAGCTCTCCAGGCGCCCAATCTAGGGTCGCCAAGTCGCATAGCCACCATGACAAACTCTGGGCAACCTTCCTATAATGGCACAGATACCGAACCATTTCCAAGCCTCGATAATGCGTCACCAAACCCTGATCATACAAACATAAACGCCGACTCTTCATCTGTTGTCGAGAATCGTCCAGCGGCCTCTTCATCTCTGAGTGGACGTCTCCGCAGAGTTTCCCAAAGTTTCGAAGTTTCCGGCCCTCCTGAAGGGTTTATGGCCGCTACAGGAACCATCGCAGCATCCATATTCTCGCGACAGACTGTGGCGCGTAGGCCATCAGACACTTCGATACCGATGCAAACAAGCCAGCCCCTTGGGGACACATCCAGACAGAGCACATTCCCAGCTGTCAACGAAGAGCCGCCCGCAGAGAAGGCGAATGCAAGCGTCGGGACCCCCAGGCGAAACCTGACTGGCGAGCCTGCTGCCGCGGCTCCTTTCGACAATGGGTATCATTTCCCACCAAAGCATTCGTTTGGACAGTCGACGAAACTTGGACTGATCGCTTTCTGGAACTATGTACGAACACCAACGGGCTTTCTTGTTACCATATACGGTCTGAACGTCGTTGCCTGGGGCGGAATGCTTTTCTTGCTGCTTTGGTAAGTTAATGATTTGTGTCCCTTGTCCTCAAGGTCCAGCCATGCTGACAAGCAACCAGCAATGCTTCACCCGCGATGTGTGTTCCGACTTGCAACGACATCAACTCCCCCAGGCGCAAGTGGATAGAGTGGGACTCACAGATTTTAAATGCTCTTTTCTGTGTTACAGGATTTGGTCTTGCTCCATGGCGCTTCCGTGATCTGTATTTCCTGCTTCAGTATCGATTCCAGAAGAAGGAAGTTGCCCTTCGACGATTAGCAGGCATTCACCGAGGATGGTTCCGTCTCCCAGGGTCCGATCAGATTGATCCTCAAATAGGGCCCCATAATATCTCGTCTGCGCCCGAACTAGCCTCATCACTCGCCTGCCCGTTTCCAGAAGACAAGATCCCCGACGCTCCGCTGACTGGCGTGCGAGCCCCGCCAACACCCATCACGAGAATGGACGCTGTCATTTGGCTGATGGTATGGAACACGTTTCTGCAGTGCGTCCTGTCTGGATTCATGTGGGGCCTTAACCGTTACGATCGTCCCAGTTGGTCTACAGGTCTTTTTGTAGCACTGGCTTGTATTGTGGCGGCCATTGGAGGGCTTGTAATGTTTCTCGAGGGGAAGAAAGTCAAGGGCATTGAAGGCGTCCCCATTTCAGAAGAAGACCAGAAGCTACTACAACAAGATCGGGAACGTGGTGTGTGGCATTACAATAATATCAAGGACAAAGACCTGGCTGCTGAGGAAGCAAAGAAGAAGAAAAAGGAAAAGGCGAAGAAGTGATGCTCCTGTTGCACATCTATTGGGCATGTACAGGCGTAAACGGCAAATCTTGGTTGGCTAATGATGGTAATGGGTGGTAGTTTCACTGATTTCATGCATGTGCGCTTTATAGTAGCAACAGGCGTTGGGTGAGCTTGCCCATAGCGTAACCATATCGTGCATATATAAAATAATTTGGGATACAACATCAAATTTAGTACTTGTGTGCCTTAGCTACTCTTCGTGATATGTACGTTCATGGATGGTTGTTTGTGTATTTAACAACTGCAGCCAATAAGTCAACCCCTTCTCATAATATACTCACCTGCGCCAAATGTATGAAAACCAGACCATCAGTGGATATATAGACATCGTCATTCAAGACTCTATGAGGCTTTCTGAAGACTGTGATATACAGCCACTTCAACTTTTCATCTCACTAAGGTCGAGACTCTCGTATCTGACTACCTTATTATGCAGGCCCCGCTTCCATTCACCTAACCCCCGGCCTCCGCCTCACTCAGTACCTTAGGTACCTATTCAAGAGGGACGTACCCGCATTAGCTAACTCCGGCCTCATGACGTGCCATTCCTACCGTGGCCTACCTATCTACCAGGTACCTATCCTGAGCCTTCTCCACTGTTCCTTCAACTTTCCCTTGTCAACTCATTAGGTAGATACACGCAGCAAGTTCACGGTACATCTCGACAACTTCAACTTCGCGCAATATCAGTATATAAGCACCTCCGATACCCTTTCAGCTTGGCATCACCCTTCGTCTGCCTCAGGGCCCCGCATCATGGGGCTGGCTTACAACACCTACCTGAATAGCAGCAAGATCTACGGCTGCAAGACATGCAAGGCCCATCTTGCTAACCATGAGGATATCATCAGCCGCGTATGTTGTCCTCCAACTCCCCAACCTCTTAAATCCCTTGTAGTTTCCTGTCCGCTGATGCCGGTACCAGAATTTCCGCGGTCAACATGGCAAGGCCTACCTCTTTCACAATGTCGTCAATATCGAGACGGGTCCTCCGAACGAACGTAACATGACGACCGGTCGACACGTAGTCCGTGATATTACATGCCGTCAGTGCAAGGAGACCGTTGGATGGAAGTACGATAAGGCCTACGAATCTTCGGAGAAGTACAAGGAGGGCAAGTTTATTCTTGAGGCAGAGCTGCTATGTAATGTTACTTGAGACCTTGCTTTCAAGGCACCTCCCAGCGTGCTCGTTGACTGCTTTTGTCTGAGGCGTTATCTGGATATTGTATGCATAGGCGTTGACTGTATTTTTGGGTGGCCTAAACACTGCTTTTAATCATGACAAGGACAAACCAGAGATAGTTATGTTACTTAGCCATTTGGATCTGAATTTCAATATGATAAACTATTCAACTAAATCCTATACTCCAAGCCTGGACGCCGTTCCAACATGCAGATGATTACAAAACTCTGGCGCAACATTATGTCATGTAGTTGGCAGCACAGAATGCTTTGCTCAACGGTGCTCAATGGGCTCCTCGGGCAAGAGCTCCTCGACCTCTTCATCTGGGACTCTGAGGAACTCCAGAGGGGGTTGAACGATACCATTGAACAAGAAAGTGAAGTAAACAAGCAGGGCGAAACCGACAATTTGGAGCCACTTGAAAGTCTCCCAGCCCAAACCAAGAGAGACGATCCAGATGAATAGTGTTCTGCAAGTGTCAATGGTAGATCGAGAAGTAGCACTGACGCTTCGAGTAACGGACAAGCCAAAGAAGTTGAAGCCACTAGTAGCAATGTCAGTGTTTCGGTTTTCCAAATCTAATCGACAAGATACTCACCCAATGCTGATCATGATGAGAAAACTAGAAATGAGGACCTGCTTGTTCTCCGTCATCTGGCGCCAGCCCTCGACAATGTCAAAATATCCATACTTGCCAGCTTCAGTGGAGCCGATAGTGGCATGTAGAACAAGCATAGCGAGGAGGGTAACACTGAAACCGAAGATACCCTCCCAGCCGACCACTCTGATTGGGTCAATCGTAGATCTCTCCAGGAGATATTCCTCGAGGACGAACTGAGTGGCTGTGAAGATCTGGGCACCAGCGATAAGCAAAACACCCACAATGGCTCTGGCAGCGTCTGAAAGTCCTCCGTCAGCAGCCGAGTCCTCCTCGGGCTGTCCAATGGAGTTCTCGGGCTTCTCATCTGGCCAAATAGCTCCAGCCAAACCAACGACTGCGACACCCAGGACGACACCGACGAGGGATAGCCACTGGAAGAGGTGCAGGTGTCGCTTGAGGAAGACGACGCTGAAGAGGCCGACGAACAAGACGAGAGCACCCCGTGTCATTTGGTAGATGGATGCAGCAACCATGAGAAGTCCAGCGTTCATGAGCGTGGTACCGCAGATGTCGCAAATAGCGGGCAGAGCAAGCAAGGTAACTCGGTATCCCTTTAAGATGGATGGGCCGGTGTGAAGGAGTTTGGTGCGATCGTCGGCTTGGGGCGCAGCCTCAGCATCACCATTTTCCTCGGTATCAACAGCTTGATAGCCTCGGTCTTCTGGTACAGAACCCTTGAACCGTCGCCAGAGAGCCATTAGGCCAACAACTAGCCAGCAGCCCATTTCGCCGATGAACATCTGGGCGGTTTGGAGAACCGGCTGATTAAAGAAAGCGCGCTTCCTTGGATTGTCATCGGGGCCACAGTTTCGAACACATTGGTTGTCCTATGGAAAGGTGAGTCAGTTGCAGCTCTTCTGACATAGCGGAACAACGGGTGCGCAGCGCATGTCGTCATACCTGATACTTGGTCAACAAGGTGTTGCAAACACCTGTGAGCAGCATCATGGCTACGAGAAATGGGATGAGGCTTCTAGACGCCATGTTGAAGAGATGGCCGATCACCGATGGCCAGCCTTCAGTGGTTGTTGATGTTATTCAGAGAGTAAGTAAGGAAGATGGGGACGAGACGGCTGAGAAGGTCAGCCAGAACTGATAAGAACAAAGAGCTGATAAGCTCTAACCTAAGGTAAAAGGCGGAGTGGAGGTACGTAGCCGTAGCACAGAGGGGTGCAAATGCAGGGTTCAGACACTTGACCTGAATGCGGAGTCGTCGCCTCACTAAATGCATGCACTACCTGCATTAGCCCCTAGATCCATCTCTGGCGCCTCACGTCTCTCCTTGTGAGTACTACGCGTTACTCGATACCTCGAGGTACATGCTCAGGCCAAGTTGATATACCTTTCATTTCTTGGTGGGGAAACCGGGTTTAGTTTATGCGGGTCACAGCGAGACAAACGAGATCCCAGCCACCAGACTTCTTGGAGGGTGACACGTGCATAATTATGGCCGTATCACAATTCACAAAGCTGTTGTCGGCTCTTCATTCCCTGCTCAGATCAATTGTCATCAACCCCAACCTCCCAGCCACTCTTTATTAGGAGCTTCTGTATCCGTATCCAATTTCGACAGGGAACACAAGTTTGAGTGTCTCAGCGCTGGGTCAAATGATGGCAATCTCTGGCATATCAGAGTCAGCGTTTTCAGTCACCTGCTGAGATGCCACACAAGTCACTTGATCAATACCACGCATGCTCAGACACACATGCAACACGGTCTAGTGTAAATAGTGGATACTGCACTTCGAACTATGCGTTGGTGGTTGACTGTTGATGAACCGCAAGTGAACAACTTGCCAACCCTATTGCCCTTGATAACTTGGGGAAAAAGAACAAAGGCTTGTCTTATTGTCATCCAACAACACCATATTAGTACGTCTTCATCCAACTTAGTCCAAACTTAGCCAACCCTACCATAACGTTCGTTGGTGTTGATGAAGATTTATACCTTGATTCATCAGTCTGGTCACATTCAGTCCAAGACACACTTATGGCCGTTACTTGTTTAAGTGTTATTGAGTGATGGTCCTCCAAAGGATACAAAAGGAGCGTAGATACACCTCGATCTAAAGTACAATACATGAAATTGATCTCAAAATTGAGCCTTGCTTGGCAAGATGTCCAAAGATGGACTAGAAACCCTCTGAATCCCTGAAAACTCCGAGAGTTCAGAAGTGAGAGCCAGTGCTGTTGCTCATGGCTGGGAATTATGGACCGGACTGGCCAGGAAATGCCAAAACTCCCAAACACCTCATACCCACTGTCAAGCTCACCACGTGAACGCCTCCTCGATGAAATCGATGTGGGATCGGTCCTGGCGGTTTCGAACAGCCAGGCGAACCTCGTCACTAAGAGCACCAGGGCCACATACTGTAACAGCCATGGCACCAACCTGGTGCTCTTGCTCCATACCCAAGAGAGTGTTGATGTTGGGTCGCCCAGGGAACATCTGGACAGTTGACGAGGGACTGTGGATTTCTTTGGTGGAGCGAGGCTGGCTGACAAAGAGCATGATTCGGAGAACATCCCTTCTCTTGTCCATGCCCAAAATCTCAGTCATCCAGGGGCGAATCCACTCCAGATGCTCGGGAGTCTGAATGGTCCAGACTAACAAGATCCTTCGAGTTGCGACAGTACCCTCGGAGTAGCCCTCAACAAGATGCTTGATATAGGGGACGGGGTGAGTGATGCCGACACCTCCAGCGAAGAGAACCACAGTACCGTAAGAGTCGAAAGAGTGGTGTCCACCATAAGGGCCCTCGGCGAAGCAGCTTGTCTCGAAACGACCTCCAGGGGCAGCGATTGCCTTCTTGTAGAGGCTATCAGTCATGCCGGTTCTGCCCCGGATGATGAAAGAAACCCGTTGTTGTTGCATGGCCAGAAGATCTTGGTTAGTCGTGGCTAATCGGTCGCTCTTAACATCCTCGACGCCGTCGTACCAGGCGACGGAGAAGGGGTGAGATTGCCAGTAGCTGATAGCGGGCATGTAGAGATAGGCGTGTTGTCCAGGGGCGGCGTTCCATGGGCGAGCCAGAGTCATGGTCAATCGGACGGCATTTCCGGGGAGGGCTTCGACAATGGTTCGGGAGCGCGAACCTCCAACGTGGGAGCGAATGACACGCCAAATACGATAGGTGCGATCGAAACTCCAGAGAGCGATCACAGCATAAACGTAGCAGAGCCACTTGAACAGACCAGGGGATGCGGACAAGTGATAGTACAATCCCACAACGGCGGCGGTGGCAGCGAGGATGTGAAGAGCCTTGAAGATCTCATAAAAGGCATGGCGAAGAGGACTGGAGGCCTGGATGCCGAGGAAGACAAAGGAGCATGTGGCCTAGGATGCGTATGTAAGTAAGATATTTACGTGAAGGACGTTAATAAATGTCATTAAAGTGACTTACAACAAAGCCGGGAAGGATAAAGTTGCCCGCAGGAGGGGTGAAGACCCAACCGTTCTTACCATAGTGGGCAAGGGTATGAGCGAGAGCCTCAAGAATGACAATACGGCCAAACCAACGGTGGATTAGGTTGTAGGTGTCAAAGGAGATGTTCAAGAGGGGGATGAGAGGGTTGTTTCGTCCAGCCAGAAGGAAGAGAGGGACCTAAAATGGAAATAAGGTTAGTGGCATGTACTAGGGAGATTTGGAACGATGCAAGCCAAGCATTATAGAAAGTGCATTTCATTGGCTAGGCCTTCCTTAATATTCAATTCAATTCATACCATATTGACAGTTGAGAGGACACCAGTGCGGTTGCGAATGACACCGCAGGCGGTGGCCATATCAGCGGAATAATCGATGTCGATAACGCACCAGACGACATTGGAGACAAAGTAGGACACGAGGAAAAGCAGTTGGAAACGGGTGGGCAGAGTTCCAACGTTGATGGCCTTGCTTAGCTGGATTTCGCGGTTGTGGCGCTTGCTGAAGACGGGAGCGTAAAGAAGGTGGCGCTTCAGGGCCGCAAACTTCTGGTTGGGGATAGCGAAGTAGCGCTGCTTGTCGTTGTTCAAGCAAGAAACATGTCGAGTAAGTCGGATAATTCGCTCGCAGACCTTCCAGACGATAACAGCAGCAGAGACAGCACCACAGACGATCATGAGGTACTTGGAGAGGTTTCCGTTGGTGGTTTCGGCGATTTCTTTAGCGAGTTGTTGCTCGGGTGTGAGCTCGTAACCGCCTCGCGGCAGCAGTGAGTTTCCGGCACTCATTGCGACTGAAGAAAGGAGGGAAAGAAGGAGAACAAAAACAATGAGATCGAGGTGTCGAAGTGAAAAAAGTTGAGAAAAGTAAAAGGGAAAAAAACCTCCCCTGGAGGAATCGAGTAGAATGGTCGAAGAAAGCGGCGGCGAAGAGAAAAAGAAGAGAGAAGGAGAGAGAGGGCGCTGTCGACAGTGACGGGGCCAAGGGACTGTAATGTAGTAGCCGCAGCACTAACAACACCAACAACAGCAGACGGTGAATAAATGAACGAAGGGACGAGAGAGAGCGTGCGTGTCTGAATGGAAACCAGCTCCGAAATAAACAATTCCTACGCCTCCTTTAGGAATGAACTGAAGACGTCAAGGTTGACGAAACAAGACAAGGCAAGGAAGAGTTTTGAAAAAACGATTGCGGAGGCCAAGGGAGGGATAGTATTAAGAGCGAGCAGGGGGTATTTTGTGAGATAAATTGGGTTTATACTATCCGGAAATTCCCCAGCAATCATGGCTCAAGCAGATCACATTCAAGGCCGCGTGTAGGTAGGGCTTGTCGTAGAAACAGTGGCCATGCAGTGTCCCTTGCTCTCTCATTTGCAGCCCAGTCCATCAGCTGGCTGTACCTATCCCGCTTCCTATCCCTGAGTATCCCACTGAGGGGGCCCATCTGCCAGTCTGCCAGTGACTAGCCAGCTGCAGCACGACGACAGTGACTGACGGGAGTTACAGCTGGGGCCAACGGCCAGCTGCGAGACCACTAAGCCTACCTACCTAAGGTACCTTGTTAGCCTCTAGTCTCAGGGGCACCAACTTTCAAGATACTCATCGTCACTTTCGAGATTGCTTGATCCGGCCATGCCATTGGGCGAACCTGCACAATCTAGAATCCCCTCGGCGGCTCTACTAGCGAACTGGCCCAGTCAGCGTCTGCGTTGCAATTGCGCGGGACGAGATGTATTGAACAGGGGAGATGACTGTGGCGCTGGCTCCGAGTGGCGGAAGGACATCTGATATCCTAGCACCGTGGGGCACAACTGGGATTCTGAAACAAGGGCTTTCCCAGCTTCTGGGTAATCAGTTTCTTGGCTGTGTACTCCGTACCTAGGTAAGGAAGCGAATGTTAGAGTTAGGGGATTATGATCTTACTAAAACTTCAACGCCCCGCTAATTTTAAACTCTCTTTTAGTACTTTTACGATAAATACTTTATTTTGAAAGTCTTTCATCTCTCTTATACCGGAGGATACTCCATTTGTAGCCCTCGCAAGGACGTGCGTGGTCCAGTTCCAAGTAAACGCGACTCAGCGGCAATGCAATACATGCCTGTATTGTACAGAAACTATGGACCATCTGTTTGCTGATCAAGTCTCCAGAGATTGTTCCCAACCGAACCTGCGAACCCAGCCTGACCCAGCAATGACATCGAATGGTGGTTTCAAGTGCCTCATGCCCCACCATGACCGATGTTATCGTAACCGTTTCCGCGGCTCCTGAGAGGCGGAGGATTATTCTCCAGTCAAAGCCTGAGACGAGCACTGAGACAAATTCATTACGTGTGCATATGTACGTACGTACGTATGATCGATCCCTGGCTGCCAACACCAAGAAAACAAAAAAGCAAAACAAAAGATAAGGCGTAAATCGAAACTCTATTAGAGTGATTGCGTATTATCCCTACATCCTAACTTAGTACGGTCTCTGTCTGTTAAGCTCAAAGTATGCTGAGTTCGTCATCCATATCGTCCTCTCCAGGCTCTGCCAATGATGTTCCTACAGCGACTCTATTAGGCCTATTTTCCTGCCACGTCCTTGCAATATCCAAGCGCCTGACTCTCTTCACGCTCTTGATATTCTTGCTACTGCTTCTGTCGCTGCCGTTACTACCATGTGTTCGTCCCAATGTTTTCCTGGGGCTGCAGTCCATCATCTGTGCACACTCGCCAAGCTCATCTCCGCTGTCTTGCTCTTCGTCAATATCCGTAATGCTGGTTGTGCTCGTATCATTCTCATCCTCCCTGTCGGTGTCGTCCGTTTCATCATGATTGCCAGCATCCTTGTCACTTCCTACCGAGCTATCTTGGTCGTTTCTGCGCCTGAGATTGCGGCCCGTCTTCCCACTCAGGCCTGTCGTCCGCGCTCGACTATCTGGTCGACGATCTGTGCCTGTTCTGTAGCTCGTTCTGTCTCGACTTTGGCTTTGCTGTCTCAGCTCGCTTCCTCGTTCCTTGCCGGGGCTGGGGAGAACCCATTCGCCAATCCCTTCCTCCCACTTCCAGCCCGAGAACATGGTGCTTGTTTCGACGACTCCCTTGCCAGCGGTGGGAAATCTTTCAGCAAAAGCAACGTCTCGGAGGTCCTTCGTTTTCTGTGCCAAAACAAACGCCCCGTCGGACACCAGACCTTCTTGAAACCAATCAGGCAGCCTCAGTTCATTTAAACGTGTACGAATCTCGGACAAGACGTCGTGGCAAGCCAGGCCACATGCTTGTCCCCGGTATTGTGCAACACAGCAAGCCAGCAAGAGAGTTTGTCGATACTGAGGTTTAGTTGGGGAACCGTTTCTTGCTGTCAACGGTTTCACACAGTCGTAAATCGCCAGATTCCTCGCTGATAAACTGCCCACTTTCCCGTCGATCAAACTCGTGGCCAAGAATCGGGCTAAAACCAGTGTCAAAAATCCGCTGCTTCGAAACGCCCCGCGACGAGTTCGTTGCTGTGTGACGCACATTTCGAGTGTGAAGATTAGTCGTCGAATGGCGTGAGCTTTCCAAGGCTCTTCATCACTCATATCAACACTCTTTGTCCAAATCGCTGCCGTCATCGCGGCCAGAACACTGATCAGTGTCTGATCTTCTGTAGGCTGTTCTTTCTCCTTCGCTTTACCGCTGTCCAACATAAGCTGGTCTAGAGCCTTGCACATAAACTCGACGACTGAGGGGACAGGTTTTCTGGAATGTAGCAGGATTTCAATTCCTCGCATCCATACTGACTGAAACGCCCGTGATGTCAGCCAGGTCAGAGATAACTTCTTGGTGTTGATAAGGTTCGAGAGGCAGTCCCACGATGGGCCGATTGTTCCCCGACCCTGTAAGCTTCTTACTATAACACCCAGAGGCTGTACCGTACTGCTCTCGATCAAGGTACTTGACGTACCACGAGGTGCTGCCAAAGGAAGCCTCAGGCTTGAGACAAGTCTCGCGGCTTCTGCCTTGCAGTCAAGACTGAGACAAAGATCGGCCAACAGTCGTACAAACGGAGGTTCGAGGAGACCTTCTGTCACAGCAGTTGCCAAGAGACATAGAGCATGCGCACGGACAACAATCTTGAGGGGCTTCCAACCCAGACTTGAAGTACCAAATCCCTCGAGTTGATCGTAGAGTTCTGCAGATGCTTTAGATGATTGCCACTTGGAAGTTTTTCCTTCCTTTGCCGCAGTCTGACGATCCCATTCCTCTATCACGGCTATCGCATCTGGTATCCTGCGAAGACACATTCCTAGCAACGACTTCGGGTGTGCTGTTTGGGAGACGGGTTCGGTTGAGGCCAGCAAGCCATGCAGCCAGCTGAAAATGGCATCGTATATGCGATATTCACTATCCGAGACAATCCGACGGAGTGATTGCAATTCTACGACCAGTGATTTTGATCCTATGGCCATGGACTTTGAGCTTGTGGGTGCAGCCTCGGGGGTCAAATTGTCGCATCTGAACTTGCGCATGACTGGCGTTGTAAACCCGAGTCGCCCAGCTCCTGGAGGACTACGTTCAATTTTCATGCTGCCGAGAGTGCGAAATGCGCGCGGCGGTGTCGACACAGGCGAAGTCATTGGCTTTGACTCAGATTTTGGTACTCGGCGTCCTCCATAGGTGTGCCGCACTCGCTTTGACAATTTCGTAGTTTCATTCTCCGTGTTCGTCCGTTTCGTGCGGGTTGTCGTTGTCGTTGGTAGCCGGGCCTCATTAACTAGTTTTCTTAAAGCAACTATGCGGCACTGGAGTTGCCGTAGTAGGCGCTGGCATCTTGCTGCCGTCCAAGGCTGTACATCTTGTTGGTGGTTGCTGCGATCTCCCTTCATCAAACAGTGGGCTGACGGGGATGGGCGATCAGCCATGATAGATGCATTCGGGTGATATCGAAGTAGTTGGATTAATATTATAGTAGTAACAAAGCCACAAAAAACATATTAGATGCCCAAGAGAGTATCAGCGATTTCATCAACAAGCAAAAGAAAGCATTGAAGATAGGTAGTTAAGGACAAAGAAGATGTTGTGTTGTGTTGTGCTAGGTAAAGTAGGGAGCATACCTGGAGATCGGCCAATATTTACATTCATCTACTTTTGGTCTAGCGCTACCGTCCATCGCTCTGGGGTCGACCGGCTTCGGGGCCCTAACATTCTCTACTCGGGCTATACCTTGTTTAACCGTACAAGGCATCTGAGGGCTAAAGTACAGTCGCTGTCGCGTGTTCAGCACCGGGTACTTCCAGTGTCCGGTCCCAATGCAATGCCGGGCCATTGCCGCCGCACCCACCACAACCTACTCGAGTGTTAACCGTCCAATTTTTTTCTTCGTCCCCTCCGCTCCGTCACTACCTTACTCCCACCTTCTTTCGACCAACGTCGTTCAATTGATTTTCTTAGCCTTCCAGTGCATGTCCCATGCCTGGTTTCCTCCCTCATTGCCTATTCTTCTTTTGCTAAATACTCCATCTTGTCAATATGGCTGAGGAAACCACTCCTCCCACTCAGGCGCCTGGTATGTATAATTTTTGTGCGAAGCTAGACCGCCCTTGTCGAATACTCGCTTGTAAAGTCCGGGGTCTCAACAGCCTCAATTCGGTCACTGACGGAGCTACCATATAGCTTTTGCTTTGCCTGTACTGGTCTTAACTTGCTCTTTGTATTGGATCTGCTATACTGAGCCGAGCTAATATGTCTCACAGCTGCTGCGTCCGAGGAGCCCGAGACCAACATGGAGGCCGAAGCTCAAGACGTTGACGCGGGCGCTGAAGGTAGCTAAAATTATCCCTCCGATTAGCGATATAGACGACATGGATATCTAACGGTTCAAAGCGTTAATAAACCTTACCATCGTCTTGCCCGACGCCAATGCTAGCAGGATGCAGATTATGGTCCGTCATTGACTTATACCGAGGCCCCTGCAAAATCTCAAGCTCACAAAAGAATGTCCAGGTCTCTTCTCAAGAACAGGTTCACGAGATTCGACAGTCCATCATTGACCTTCCCTCCGCATTCCAGTACACTTGCTTCCACCTCGAGTTTAACGGCGAGAAGATCAACGACTTCATTCCCCTCTCTGAAATTCCTGACCTCGGCACTACTCCCGAATTCCACGTCGTTGAGGACCCATATACCGAGAAGGAAGCTCGCATCCATTTTGTTCGCATTCGAGAGCTAATCGGTGCCTCTGGAGACCGATGCGACACGGCCCAGGGCCTTCTTCCGGGGCTGTCCCTCTTCGAAACTGTCGCCACAGAGGCCGTCAGCAACACTGAGTCGGCCGAGGAGTCACCCATTCAGAACTACGATTTCCAGGCTGTGCCCTCTCTTACCGAGTTGGTCCCTCCTCCCTCTGAGCCCGCTCCCAAGACAGTGAAGCAGATCTCCTTGTCTTCCTGGAATCCTCCTCCTCCTCACCTCCGACAGCGTGGCCACTTGCTCTACTTGGTTGTCTCCACCAACGAGGGCGAGCAATATCAGATCACCTCTCACGTTTCGGGCTTCTTCGTCAACAAGTCATCTAACGCCAAATTCGATCCCTTCCCTCGTGCGGCACCCAAGGGTCAGTCAGCTCACTCTTTGCTGAGCCTGATCGAGCTTGTCTCTGCATCCTTCGCCGAGTCCTTCACAAAACTCCAGGACTACAACAACCAACGCGACCCTCTCGCCACCTTCCAAATCACCAACGCTATTCCTGCTGCTCCTTGGGTGGTTCCCTCTCCTAACTCAACACTTTGCACACATCTTCCGGATCCTGCACGATCTCAGGAGACCTACCTCCTTAATGGTGTCGAGAACACCGACACTCTGCGAGACTGGAATGAAGAGTTCCAGTCAGCGAAGGAACTTCCTCGCGAGACCGTTCAGGATCGTGTCTTCCGAGAACGACTCATTTCTAAGCTCTTTGCCGATTATAATGAGGCTGCTAGTCGAGGCGCCGTCATGGTCGCACGAGGTGACATTGCACCTTTGAACCCCACAGAATGCAGAGATGCTCAAATCTTTGTCTACAACAACATCTTCTTCTCTTTTGGTGCTGACGGTGTTGGTACATTCACTTCTGAGGGCGGTGATGAGGCGGCCCGTGTCGCTACTGGTAAGGATGTCGCTGGCGTGAAGCTCGTCAACCAATTGGATATTGAGGGGCTTTTCACTCCTGCCACCGTGGTTGTTGACTACCTTGGCAAGCGAATTGTTGGACAGAGCATTGTTCCCGGTATTTTCAAGCAGCGTGAACCTGGTGAGAACCAGATCGACTACGGTGCTGTGGACGGCAAGGACATCGTCGCCGCTGATGAGAGGTTCGCTCCCGGCTTTGCTCAGCTGTCCAAGGCACTGAGAGTCAAGAAGCATCCTGTTTGGGACAAGGACGGTAAGCGATTTGACTTGGAGGCCAGTGTGGAAACCAAGGGTCTGCTGGGTACAGACGCCCGCAAGTATGTCTTGGATCTATATCGTATCAGCCCCCTCGACATTGCTTGGCTGGATGAAGACGGCCTTCCTGAGGATGGCGATGCTTACCCTCACCGCATGACAGTCCTCCGACCGGAGCTCGTCGACTCATTCTCGCGATACAGGCTGAAGCAGTGGGTTGATAAAGAGGTTGCCCGTCGAGCTGAACAAAAGAAGGAGAAGGAAAGTGAGGCCAAGGCCGCAGAGGGTGACGCCAAGGGCGAGGAGAGCGAGGGCGAGGGTGAAGCCTCCAAGGAAGAGGATAACCAGCCTAACCTGTCAGACTTCAAATTCGCCCTTAACCCTGACGCTTTTAGTGGCCAGGTTCCTCAGACCGATGAAGAGAAGGCCGAGTTCGCCGCTGATGAGGAAGAGGTTAGGGCAGCTGGAAAATATCTCCGCGAACAGGTTATCCCTGACCTGCTCAAGGATCTTTCCGAGTCCGAGATCAGCTTCCCCATGGATGGCCAGTCATTGAGCCGACTTCTACACAAGCGCGGTATCAACGTCAGATACCTCGGTAAGGTTGCTGAGCTCTCTAGTGATGGCCGACTCCGATGCTTGCGCGATATTTGCGTCCAGGATATGGTTGCCCGAGCCTTTAAGCATGTTTCTGCTGTTTACCTCAGGCACCTACCAGTCCCTGCTGTTCCTGCTGCTGTTTCTCACCTCCTCAACTGTCTGCTTGGACACAGGTTCAATGAGAAGCCTGTTGCTGAGCTCGATCCTTCCATCCGCAGTCTCTACACTGATGCCGACTGGTCTTTCGAGAAGGTTACACCTGAGACTTTGCGGCAGAACATTGAGGAGCAGATCCTCCAGCGATTCCGATATGAGCTCGACGAGGAGTGGCACAACCAGGTTCGCCCTGTGCAACTTCTTCGTGAGGTGTCGTTGAAGATTGGTATTCAGCTTCTAGCCAAGGACTACAGTTTCACGGCTGGGACTGCTGCTGCTGCTGCTGCTGCTGCCGCCGCCGCCACTTCTGAAGCTTCCCCTACAAAGGTCGAGAAGCCTGTTGTCAACGGCCAGGCCAATGGTGAATCTGGTAGCAGCAAGAAGAAGAAGAAAGAGCAAGGCTCGTGAAGCTTCACCCTGTTGACGCTGCCGTCCCAGCCAATGCGCATACTTTCAGCCCCGAAGACGTCATTGACCTCGTTCCTTTAATCAAGGACTCGTGCCCTCGCAGCGCCCTCGCGGAAGAGGCGCTTGAGGCTGGCCGTATTTCTCTTCTGCAAAACCAGAAGAAACTGGGCCAGGAGCTTCTCCTGGAATCCCTTTCCCTACATGAGCAGATTTATGGTATCTTGCATCCCGAGGTCGCTCGTGTCTACAACAGCCTATCTATGCTCTACTACCAGCTCGACGAGAAGGAGGCTGCTGTTGACCTTGCTCGCAAAGCTATCATCGTCGCTGAGAGGACCGTTGGTGTCGACTCGGCCGAGACTCTCCTCAACTACCTCAACCTGAGCCTGTTTCTCCACCAGATTGGCGACAGTAAGGGCGCTCTTGTGTACTCCAAGCATGCTCTTAAGATGTGGAAGGTCATTTATGGCCCTGACCATCCTGATTCTATCACAACACTCAACAATGCTGCTGTGATGCTCCAGAACCTCAAGGCTTACCACGAGTCTCGACTCTGGTTCGAGGAGTCACTGCGCGTATGCGAGTCTGTTTTCGGCAAGCAGTCGATCAACTCTGCTACCCTTCTATTCCAGCTGGCTCAGGCTCTTGCTTTAGATCGCGACTCAAAGGGAGCTGTCACTCGCATGCGAGAGTCTTACAACGTCTTCCTTGCTGAACTTGGGCCTGAGGACAAGAACACCAAGGAGGCCGAGAGCTGGTTGGAGCAGCTCACCCAGAATGCTGTCAACATTGCCAAGCATGCTAAGGACGTTGCTGCTCGAAGACTCCGAACTGGTGTTCGGTTTACCACCAATCCCTCAAGCTTGGCGGCTTCTAATGCTACTGTCCCCGGCCGCGCAGGACCTGGTTCACAAGTCGACTCTCGTAGCATTGATGAGCTTATCAAGTTCATCGAGGGTGGTGAACATCAGCAGACCAAGAAGCGAACTGGCCGTGGAAACCCTAAGAGGCGAGGCCAAGCTGGAGCGCGATAGGCCGACAAATTAACGAAATTCTTTATGATGCTATTATGTGGTCGAGTTTCTAGCTCACCGCTGTGTAACAGTAGACGATGAAACAAAAAGCATGGGGATTCCATTATGAATCATGTGGGAGCTGGGTGGCTTGGTCACGAAAAAAAAGGAAGCCCTTGCATTGGTCGGGTTTGGTACGGTTGGCGGCACGGTGGCGCGATCACACGTATTTGCATCAAAAGGCGCGTTCTCAACATTTGTATATATCCAAGGCTCTGTTGTAGGCCATTGGCCAGATGATCTTCACTCTTATATAACATGTTCACACTTGGAGCTCTTGAGTCTCTGTCGAGGGAGAATCCCCCAGTGGTTCGGAAAGGTCTATAAGATCGAGTGAATCGTTGAGCTGACCGTTCAGTCACGCAGATACCTAAGTCGAGGAGCGATGCTTTTTTTTTTTTTTCGTTGGCGCGTTGCATTCATAAGTGCCATCAACATCCTTGGTCGACAGCATCATGTACTCAGATGTTTGGTACAATTCATGGCTCCGTGACTTATCCCCCTTGAAACAAAAAACGCCAGTGTAGAAAGGAAGCCTAAGTACGGCCTTGCAAGATAGAAGCCCCTCCGCCAACTGGTGCATGATACGCACCGATACTCTGAAACCCCCTGGGTGATTATGTTAGCTCAGCCTCAAGAGAGTCATGGGGAAAACAAACTTGGTTAAATCAAAGCCGTGCTCCTCTTCGGCCTCTGCCGGTTGAGCAATCGGCTGTGGAGTTGACTTTTGAGGTCGAGAAGGACTGCTAAGAGGCGACTTGTCTCCCCTTGGCGGACTGCTACTCTGCGGGGGGAGAACACCTCCAGCCTTGGTAGGACTGACATCGTAGCCACCAAGAGGTTTCAATGGTGTGCTGCCTATGTCTGCGTATTTCCAGAAAGGAGCAGGTGAGCTGGTGGGCATGTGTTGACTGGGTCTCTGTGCTGTGCTTGGAGGAGCAAGCTTAGGGTGCATCCTGGGCGGTGCTGGAGTGACGAATGAGCCTCCGTCCTCCTGGTATGAAGATGTGAGCGTGGGTGACTGGGGGTTGTACACCGTAAACGATGAGTCTCTTGCTGGCGTCTTCCTAGGACGCGGTAATGGGCTGCCATCAATCATCATGGTCGCGTTTCTACCAAAAGATCGATCAGGAGTGGACTGGGGAATTAGCAAAGAGGATCCAGGTGGCTGTGGTGATGCCGGGGGGGAAGCTCTTCGTCTGCGGGCTGAGGGAGGTTCTCTTGAGGCCATGTCTCTTGGGCCATGTGTGATGTAGGCAAGTTGGTTTGGGGATGAGGGGGCTGATGAACCACGATGACCACCACGACCGACGCGATAGGCGTTTCTGATCATCTCCTCTCTTGCTTCTGGGACAATTTGCCACTTCATTCCCTTGCCAGGCTCATCGGTTAATCTGGCAACCTTGTCAAATGACTTGTTCAATGAAAGGTTATGACGGATTGAGTTCTGTCGAGTGTGAGTGAGTATACCGCCCAGCAAGGTATGGTACGCGCCACGAGAACTTACCTGCCAGCCAGCGGCCTGTTGATGGCGATAGTAGGCGTATGTGTTCATGATGTAGGTGTAGATGCCGTTCAGATTCAGCTTCCCGTCAGGTGCGTTCAGGATCGCTTGTGTAATCATTTGAGCATAGCTATACTGAGGCTTGATATGCTGGTTCTCATCCTGGCTCAGATCTACACCATTGGCACCAACCATGACGGCCGGCGTGCTTGCAGCCGGTGATTTGGCAGTGCTCTGGGCCGAGGGCGGAGTGCCCGGGCGTTTGTATTCCGGCGGCGCCGGTGCAATGAGGGGTTGTCGGCGCGAAGTACGAGATTGTGGTGTATGAACACTGACTCCAGCGCGTTGCAAGTAGATGGGATGCACAGTCAGTGGAGTAATCTCGGACGGAAGGACGAACATCATCTCGACATTTCCAATCTCGATGACTTCGCCGCTTGTGAGAGGATGAGCCTGTCCAGCCTTAACGGGCTGGCTGTCCACCTTAGCACCGTTGCGGCCTTTGACATGCAAGAACCACTTCTCGTCCTTGGAATCGAATGATATGGTAGCATGCTCTCGCGATACCATTTTGCTAGGACCCAAGTCGATATGGACGTAGGACTCATCTTCGTCGGAGCCCACGGTCTGAGAGTTATGTGACGTCTCTGGGGCTCGGCCTATGTTAACGTTGAGCTTGGTGATATAAAAGGTCCAGTCCTGGGCAGCCACTTTGGCGTAGGCTTTCACACCATCACCCTTGGCCTCGTGTATGACATTTGCATGATCCTTGCTGGCCTGGACTTCCTGACTTCTAAGATGCTGTGTGATTTGCGACACGAGCTGATCGTCGTTGGGCGCGGGGGGGTCTTCATCTTCCTGGACCTGCTCGGGAAGATCAGTGTCAGCTGCCGCGGGCAATGGATCGAACGACAGACAGACAGGATAACGGACCTTCTTACGACGCTTTGCTGGACGACTGGGGGAGGAATCTTCGACGTCGCCTGATGTATCTGCATTGGACGTCGCGGCTTTACGCGGTTCGCGACGAGCCCTAGAGGCTCTCTTTGCCGACGGTGGCATGGCGGGCAAGCAGCTGTGCACTCCTACGCTGCAACGACGAAACGAAAGATGGCAAGATCGAGGTTTTGTCGTTATCTTGGGATCGCAGGGCAGGGCGTGCTTTGGTGTCCTCGTGGACTGAGGTGGGAATACGAAATAATCAGGTCAAGTAAAGTCGTGTCGTCAATCAATGAATGTATCGTCTACTAGTGCAGCAAATAAATGCCCTGCCCTTTAAAGTTGGTACCGCGTTCGCGTTGGGATTGACCTAGGTCTAGGTCTAGTAGTTAGGTAGTGTCGTAAAGTGGCAGGGCCCATGACAGGGCTGCGCTGCGGGCTGGGCTTGTGGGCTTCGGCCTTGGCTGGGATGCGGGTGCTGGGCTAGGTGTGGGTGTACCGGTTCGTGCATATTCGAGCCCCGTTGAGTGAATCAGAGGCGTTATAAATCAGCAGACAAAGGGGGCTGACAGTGCTGTAAGGGGGCATCAGTGATCACTAGCGTGTGTGAGCGTCATTGGGAAACAAGGCGAATAGTTAGATGGATCCAACGGATGTTATGAGTGGAAGAGGAAGAAAACTGAAGATGAATTTTTCTTTCTTAGTTCCTTATGATAGGACTATAGTCTAAAAGAGTGACATTATTATTATTTGTCTTTGTATGCCTATATCTAAGTCTCTTTTTTTTTTGTCCTGGCTTCACAAGAGAGTAGAGTTTAGTGGCTTGACTTGCATCTTCCACAGACAGGAATTCCGTTCACTTCCATTGCCTGTACCCCCTGGTCTAGTAGTACTAACCTAATGTCTTGCGTGCGTCCCAGGGACAGGGCACCATTCTGATAAGTGAATATTGTGTGGTGTTTGTTCATGAAAATACGACGACCATGCAATACGATAAATGCACATGCGTAACCTCGAGTAAGCCCAATCCCGCCTCGCCCTTCACTAACTGGCTGACTGACTGAATGTCTCTCATTTACTGATATATAGATAATTCAACTCTGGTTTTGTTTAGCGCTAGGGTATAGATATTGCCAACCATGAATCAATAACGGGGTCCCCTTGCAGCTGTCAATTTATCTGTCTCTAAGCGGGTAATCAACTCCAACCACCTATTCAAGCACTGCAATGCGTGAATGAACAACGTGATTAAATGCTTCATTGAGCCACAGTTAACAAATAATAAATTGCCCGTTTAGATCAGCTTAAATCCACATATTGAAAAAAGCCAGTGATAAATAAATAGGAACTTAACCCCCAGGTCCAGGGTGCCTCAGTACTAAGTGCCTTGGCCAGGGTCCACTGTTTCAACTACCTACACCCAATCCAACTTGTGGGTCACCACCGCGTTTGTGCAGCCTCGCGGCGCCTCGTAGTACCTACCTACCTACCTAGGTAGGTAGTCAGCCAAAAGTTCTAACTCTCCTTCATTACCACCTACCTGACCTACCAAGTACTAAGAAAAAAATTCGTTCTCTTCATCACCCAGCGAATTGCACTCGATATCCTTTACGATCCATCCCTTACCTCTCCGATCCAGCCATCCCCAATATTCGTCTCCATACCAGACACAGAGCACCCTCTTGTCAGGCCTGTCCTGTGCCTGGCCTCTCCCTTGCGCTGCTCCCATTGCCCTTGGAGAGGCTTGAAAACCAACGCATTCTTTTAGACAAACAACCATTTGCTGATTCGGCTATCATCCTGTCGCTTTAGGATTCGCGATCCTCCCCCGCCTCGGGTTGGTGGTTATCCAACCACTGTCGTTCAGCTTCCCTCCCTCCCCCATTCCGACGTTTGGATACATTGAAGCTATGGCATCTGAACAGGCTTACGGCGTGACGCCTCCCATTTCCGTTCAACTCCCAACGGAAGCCGAGCTACGACAATCGGACGCTCTTCTGGAAGAATTGAAGCGTCAAAAGACCTTCGAGAGTCCCGCAGAGACTGCCAAGAGGTGAATACCAACAAATCTGTCGCGTGAGCCTGTCAAGAACTAACAAACTTGTTCCAGAGAAGAAGTCCTGGCCTCGATCCAAACCATTTGCGATGCGTTTGTCCGTCGAGTCGCCCAGGAGAAAGAACCCAAGAACGAGGTCCTCATACGAAATGCAAGGGGCAAAGTCTTCACTTACGGCAGTTATCGCCTCGGCGTCTACGGCCCCGGCTCTGATATCGACACTCTCATCGTCGCGCCGAAATACGTGACCCGCGAGGACTACTTCAAGTTCTTCCCAGATCTGCTTCTCTCGATGGCCCCCAAAGATGCCATCACTGACATGGCTGTCGTGACAGATGCTTTCGTACCCATCATCAAGTTCGAGTACTCTGGCATAAGCATTGATTTGATCTTTTCTAGGGTTATCCAGAAGCAGCTATCTCCCGATTTCAAAGACCTCAAGGATTCTGGCCTGCTGCGCGGCTTGGATGAGGCAGAGCTGCGATCTCTCAACGGCACACGGGTAACGGACGAGATCCTCACACTAGTCCCCGAACAGAGCACATTCAAGAATGCTTTGCGAGCCATCAAACTGTGGGCACAACGGCGTGCTGTCTACGCCAATATCATGGGTTTCCCCGGTGGTGTTGCCTGGGCCATGCTCGTCGCACGCGTTTGCCAGCTCTACCCCAAGGCTACGTTCTCGGTGATTGTTAACAAGTTCTTTTTGGTTATTAGCCAATGGCGCTGGCCGCAACCCGTTCTTCTCAAGCCCATCGAGGGTGGACCTCTCCCTGTTCGAATCTGGAACCCCAAGGTACGTCTAGTTGCATGCAATTTCAATGCGCGGCGTACTAATTCTGTTTCAAGCTCTATAAGGGTGATACCTATCATCTAATGCCCGTCATTACTCCTGCGTATCCATCTATGTGTGCCACTTTCAACATCACTCGTTCGTCGATGGCGATTATCAACCGAGAACTTAAGCGGGCTCTTCAGATATCTGAGAGTATCATGGTGGGCAAGCGCCCCTGGAGCGATCTTTTTGTCAAGCATACCTTCTTCACTGCAGGGTACAAGTACTACATCTCTGTTACCTCAGCAGCGAAGACAAAGGAGGCCCACACGATCTGGTCTGGTTATGTCGAGTCTAAGGTTCGAATGCTAGTGCAGAAACTTGAGCAACACCCGTCCATTGCTCTAGCTCATGCCTTCAACAAGGGCTATGAACGACAACACCGATGTCACAATCAGGAAGAGATTGAGGCTGTGCAGGAAGGGAGCCTCGATTATCTATGTAAGGAAGGCACCGAGCACACTACTGCTGTCAAGATTGAGCCCGCAGTTGCAGAACTACCAATTAAGGCTGAAATCGGGGAGCATGGCCAGCCTATCAAGTCTGAGAATGGTCAGGGCGACGAACAGGTCAAGACCGAGAACGGTGAGAATAATCACGTTATTGAGGCTGAGCCTACAGAAGAGACTGGCCCTATTACGGCCGTGCCTGTCAAACCTGAGGCATCCGATGAGTCCAAACCAACAGACACTGTGACTGCAAGCGGCCCATCCGACATCTACACAACTACTCACTATATTGGTCTCGAGTTGGCTTCTGGTATGTATACAGCCTGGCATGTTTTCGCGAGTCCTCGGTGTTTGAGATTTCCCAATACTGACTCAATAGGCGCCAAATCACTTGATCTTTCTTACCAGGTTAATGAGTTCAAGGAACTTTGCACCTCGTGGCAGAAATACAAGGATGATCTGAAAGATGACGTCTCTATTGGTGTTCAGCATGTCCGAAAGTGAGTTCAGCAGACGCTTCCAGACATCAACGCACCTTGGCCTGCTAACTTTGGCCCGCACAGCTTCAACTTGCCAGATGATGTATTCGACGACTGCGAGAAGAAACCCCAGAAGAAGGCTGCAGCTAAGGGCTCAGCAAACGGCAAGAAACGGGGCCCCCCAGAGGTATTTAAGCATCACCGGGCGAATTCCCATTGCCGGTCAAGATGCGCTGTTCCAGATGGCACATCCCTCCCAGCTAGGGTATACTAATCCTCGTATAGGAGAATCCTCCCCCGGCGAAGAGACAGCAAGCTTCGGTTGCCGCCGCAGGCTGAGCATGATAGCATACTTTGCATTCCACACGAAGATTGGCTCGAAAGAGCTGGACCGCAGCTCAATTGTGCATCATGCACTATATATCAAAAAATCTCAAGAATATCGGCAAGTCCATAAGTGGCTGGACGATTGGCATGTGGCTGATCACGTAACTAACATAAGATAAACAAAAAAGCTTGCTTTCAACCAGACTGAACTGCATCAACTACCATGGTAAGTTGGCAGTGCTAGCCTGATGTGTTAATGCATTACTGGCGGCGTTATTTGCGATTGGAAGAATGAATAATCTACATTAATAACAGCAGAGAATGAGAGAGAGACAGGCACGTGCAGTGCAGTGCAGTGCAGTGCGGGGAGGGCAGCTGGCCAAATCAAATATGTTGTGCTTCGCAGCAACATATCTCCAAACTAGGAGCTGTCCAGTTGCTGGGTCGATAACGTTGAAGACCTCCAGCAGCCTCATATTATATCTGTACCTAGGAAATGGCCATGCTAGATCAATACAAACTTTTTGAGGCTCGATGAGCCTCAGGAGATTTGCTCCAGACCTCTTCTTGTTTCTGTCCCGCGTATTCCTGAGTTGTGTATGGTGCCCGAGGTTGCTCGACTGCGTTTGGATTTGATGGCTAGGTCTATCAAATGTATCATAGGTCGTCGTCATCATCGTCGCTGCCACTGAGCCAGCCTTCTTGGTAGGCATCCGCCAGTTCTGCCAATCCGTTACCAAGATCCTCTCTTTCGTTGACTGGCACAAGTCGAGCAGAGTCTGACCGCAAATTTCTGATCCGTTGCACCAGTGAGCTGTTTGTGGAGAGTGTGGTTTGCATGCTGGCATCAGGATGGCTACTGAGATGAGGATAGATCTGAGGGTAGGCGTCCAGTAACGGGAATCTGAGGGATGAATCATATCTAGTCGAGTATTAGTGCTTAGCAAGCCACATGGTTTAGACAGTAACGTACCTGCGCACAACAGAATTGCCTATTATGGGGCGTTCACCTGGAGCAAGATGTCCAGGAGCGTCTTTATCAACGTTTCCAAGGGGGTCCAAGTCTCGATAAGATCGGAGTTCACCGAAGACATGCTTATGGGCATCCGACCTAGCAATACGATGTCGACTCCAAGTGCGTCCTATTTGGAAGAAGTCGACATTGATGCGGCTGTCTTCCGATGAGTCTTTCTCAGATGCCAATGACATGTTGATGCTGGCCAGGGGCTGATTGCCATTGACGTTCAGACTCTCGGCTAGGTCGTCTAGAGAACTTGGCTGCTCCGAAGAGCCTTGTACCAGACGTGTGGGCAAGGTGGCTGTTTCGATAGCTGCAGCCATGACAGCAGACGTGTGCCAGGGTGAGCGACGATCCAACGATATGCCAGCTGAAAGGTCCTCTTCGGGTAAAGCCATAGGAACAACTGTCGTGGCCTGCGTGCAGAGCCGTTCGATGCTGTGGGCAATGTTCGCAAGGCGTAGTTGGCGCTTTGATCTGGGAATATCAAGCAAGGGGCTCTGAAGACCCCAGATCCATATGGTTGTCTTTGGGAACTCATCCCTCAAGGACTCGAGATATGTGGATGCATAACCACCCCAAGCATCATCGATAGTGGTAAAGACCTGTATTCCCTGCATCCTGTCACACTCTTCTGCAAAGGGCCTGAAGTCTCTATCCACAAGATCGTGCTCCTTGTCGAGCATCGAGAAGAGCTCTGTGCCCATTGAGAAACGCTCAAAGGGCATGGTTGTCGAGTTGAGCTCAAAGTCATAGAGCTGGACCAGTGAACGTGGATGGAAGTAGACTCGTGAGAAATCGGACCAGTATCTCACATTCGAGGTTGTTAGTTGTGCCGGTTCAGTGCCTGCATCGAGGCTCTGCTGGTACTCGCTTGGATTAATGGGTGCCTGTTTGTGAACGACTGATTGACCTGACCTGAGAGGTTGTTAGTTGGCATGGGTGCTGGCCGACAGTGTGACCAATAGAAGTTCCTACCATAATTCTACAGGATCTGGCTCGGCCTCGGCTTCATACAGTGCATTAATCTTGCGTAAAGAGCCAAACCCGCCTTTGAGGTCGTATATAACTGTTCTGGGGAGAAATGTTTCTGAGCCGTCAGCGCCTAGACCGGCCCGCCAATGAACATTGTGATCTATGGGTGACTTTGCATCGGCCGAGTATGTAAAGTATGACTCCTATGTTACGGTGAGTGATTGTCTTTTGTGCATGAGCTGTAGTAGTAGTGGTAGTGGTAGGAGTAATAATACCTGGGCATTCCAGAAGTGAGTGGCTGTATAGTTACTCAGCTGACCGAGCTGAAGACTGATGATTTCACGCATTTGGGACCGTGATCCTATGTAAACTTTTGTGTGTCTTTTGTGTGTATTAAAAGAACAGTTGATGCAATCAGAGACCAAGACTGCGTATAGGGATGTGAAATGTCAAAGTTCACATGCGAAGCCTTTACTGATTGAGAGATGGAGATATCTGCGGCTTGCCTACCCTAAGTTACACGAATATAGTGGGTAAGGTATTTATTCCTACCCAGGTAGGTATGTTTGCATGAGACCCTAAGCAGCTTATCTAATCATTGATTCGGGAATTCGATCAAGTATTGGAAAGATGCATTATATCGATTATGTAGGATACTCAAATAAACCAGTGTATTCGATCTGATTCTTCTTCTTTGTATGTTGGCCATACGCATAGGTGGGGGAGAGAGAGAGAGTGTGTGTGTGGGTGTGGTGAGTGAGTGTATTATGTCATTGACATATGCCCTTGCTCTAATATCGCGAGACATTTCGAGCTTTGAAATAGGTACATACTCATATCACAGTACACCATAACAAGAATAACGTTACTGCCACATCATGTCACAAGAAACTGCTGCTGCTGCTGCTGCTGATGCCAACGCTAATGCCGGCTTCTGGAAAGAACTCGACTCATGGAAGACACCCGTAGCTAAAGAGGTCGGTCCTACAGTCGAGGTTGGATCCAAAGCGCCCTGGTCTCAACACCTTCGCCTTCCCGACGGGAAACCTACTCTCGTGGTGTTTCTCCGTCATTGTGGATGTCCCTGTATTTCATTCCTTAGCATCCCGTTTGTACGATTTGATGCTGACTGACCGCCGTGAACTAGTCGCTGAAAAGACATTCAGAGCTCTCGCCGACCTTTCCGATAAGGTCCCAGGGGTCCATTGTGTCGCCATCTCGCACTCTTCAGAAGAGGCAACGGACAAATGGCTTCCCCTGGTCGGCGGCACCTGGGACGTCGATGTTGTGATTGATCAAGAGCGCGACTTGTATGCCAAATGGGGCCTCGGAATATCATCAACGTGGCACGCCGTCAACCCTCTCACGCTGTGGAACGTCTTCAGCCTTGGAAAGAATGAGGGCATCTGGAATCGACCAACTGAGAGTGGCTCGCGGTGGCAGACGAGCGGTGCCTTTGCTGTTGATCGTGACGGAACTATTCGCTGGGCTCATGTGGCGAGAACCGCTGATGATATGCCGGATCTCAACGCTGCCATGACTGCCCTTGGGCATCCGCCCCCTGAGAAGAAGCGCCATTCAAGGCTTGAGCACAAGTAGAACTACTAACTGACGAGGTTGGACTTATCTCAGTGTGCATATATAACCCCAAAAAGGGAGCTGTCATGTGTCAATACTAAGCACCACTGTCACCAGCATTCGCAAGATAGGGGCCATCAAACTCCAATTAATATATGTATGTAAAATTTATAGGGTATCTTGTGTCCTGATATATTGCTCCAGTACTCGAACAGTACTCGAACTCGCCTTTTATCCTGGCCTTTGGATGAGAGCATAATGGCGAAGCGAAGTAAAGCCAAGACGATGGCGCTGGGTTGTACGTATTTCAGCAGGCCGTAATACCACGTTTCGCCAACTAGAAGGACAGGACCATGCTCGGCCGTCCAACCTCTACGTTTTTCCTTCGTGATGCAACAACAGAACACATCCCGTCAGACCAGCCGGTGTGCATGATCTTGGAAGCCACCAAGCCAACCAGGCCAACACTGCTCACCATTTCTAGGGCAAGCATCCCTTTCTGCTTGAGACCTCCCCCCATCTCCAAGAGGCCGAGTGGATCCTGATGTGTAGGCTGAGGAGCTTTCCGTTTCTTGGACTGCGTCTTTTTCTTGCCGTTGCTGGGGACGTGGACTAAAATCGACTGCTTCGCCACAGTGTTTGAAATGGCCCTCTCTTCCATCAGATGGTATAACCTCTCAGATTGAAGACTCTGGCGCAGGTTATTCGCCCAGTTATAGAGCTCCAGCCGATCCCAGCTCGGGGTCCGCCTGAAGGACCTTAATCTCATGGCTCTCTCCGGAATAGATCGAGAGACCAAGGCTCCGCTCGACAAGGCATTATGAAGCAAGCTGTCCCCGTGACCACGTCGCCATTTGATACATTTCACTGCTGCAGAGTGCCGTAATCGAGCGCTGCCGTCCAGAGAAAAGACGTGGTCGACGAGTCGGCCCAAGTCTGTAGGCAAAAGGGGTGGGATGTATTCCGAGTCCATAAGAGTACTGGCGTCTATGGTATCGTAGTCCGGCCGGGATTCGGTAGAAACGGCATATACACACTTGGTCTCTTCTGAGTCGCCAGGACCCGCAAATGAGAAGTAGTCCACATCCTTATCAACCAGACTCTTCACAACTTGCTGTTTGATGTGCTTGATTTCCTCTGGTGCAAGCTCGTCAACCCTAGTAAGAACTGGGATTACGTTAGTCATGCGCTGAGCGCGCTTAATGTACTCGACATCCTCTCGTACAAGGCCTGAAACTCATTAGCAAGCGTGGTGGTCAAGCGAACCTGGATGAACTTGCCGCTGTGAGGAATAAGGTAGAGCAGAGCGTCCACAACTGGCTCGGCGCCAGAGTTGACCAAGGTGAACAGATCCGAATCAGCCATGGGCTTGTTAATCAGAGATGCCAAGTGAGATTCGACATAATGAAGATCACGCCACGAGCCCTGAGTTATTGTTAGGATGCGATGACCTGAGGAGGGTGGTTCAGATACGTACAGAGGCACCTCGTCGGTGGCCTGGGCTTTCAACAAAGCATACATTCCTGTCAAGGACATCGCCAGTGGTAGGAATCCGCCTTCGCGTTGTCATGGCGAGTTCAGAATCAGATCGCCACCATGGCTGTGGACGCGAGCTGGCATATGTTTCAGTAGCATGTAACGCACTGCGATTCTCTATCGGATCCATGTGAACGATGTGCTCGCAACGCTCTACCAGAGTCTTGATGAGAGAAGTTTTCCCAATACCTATTGAAGTCGTTCGTTAAACTCGTCACTGATGGGTATTCTGTTCATGTACTTACCGCATTGCCCAGCGACCATGATCTTTAGCTTGCCCAAAGATTTACCCACTTCTGAGAAAGGACGACGCCGTGGAACCATCAAGCTCGGCATGATAAGCTGAGGAACCGTGTTTTGGTTTTCTTGATTATCTGCCAGATCTGTTACGGGTAAGGAGTCATCGTCATGGATCAAATCGCTGTGGGCGTCAATGGAGGGACCTGCTAGGGAGCAGCTTTGCGACGAGATGCTCATGACAGAACCAGAATGCGAAAGACCGATCAGAGAGGGAGTGCTTGGCTGCGACGGCAAGTTCAAGGACTCTTGTTCGACGACAGATTCAACAGAGGAATCGTCTGAATCGTCAAACTCCGATGCGGGATTCGCAGGCTTACGACCGGTACGAGGAGGCGAACGTCGCTGACGCGGGGTTGAAGGCCGGCGCGAGTTACGACTACACTTGCGCCGATCGCTTTGCTGGCGGAACCGCGGACGGGAGCGATCTCGGCGAGCGTCAAGGTCGGCCTCAGTGGTGATGAAACAGGCAGTAGGTACAGTCGAAGAAGGGCGTACCAAGCTGTCAGGCCGGTCTGAGGACCGAGTGTTGAGAGGATGATTCGTAGGCAAGACAGGTCTCATTGTTGTATATGGTTGAAGGGGACCGAGATAGCGTGCTGTGCTGTGCCTATACGGCGGATACAGGGGTGCTAAGGTGAGGTGCAGTTCTGATAAGGGGCAAGCTGTCTTTGTTCATGTCACGGCGCCTCGTAGGAGAACAGGAGTACGTAGGGTACGTAAGTAAGTTATGTATGTATTTGCATTCGAAGGCGTAACACAGCGAGGGGCAAGCAGTGAATGAAGATGGTAAGAAGTAGCACGGGAAATGCGGGATGGATGGATTGTGTAGGGAGCTCGATGACGATTGTTTTAAAAGCCCAAACTCAGCTGGATGATAAGGTGAGGTAGGCCAGGGGAGGCAAGAAAACGGCAAGAAAACTCAGGACCTTGATCCTAAGCGATAAAATTATTAAGGTAAATCTAGCCTAAGCTTAGGGGACTCTTTGCTGAGTTTATTTTAACGTCTTCTTTTCAAGTCTTGAGTTTTCTTGCTCCCTGAGGGCAAGGTAAGGTAGCACCTCAACAAATAGGTAAGGTTCTATTGATTCATGGGGTAAAATGCCATACTCGGTAGGTGGGGGTGCATGGGCCCATTTTACCAGGTGCGCGTGCGCTTAATCTATAGCACTAACAAGCCCCCGTGACGGGGTAGAGGCACGATTGACACCCCCTATAAGCACCCATATCGACGGGGGAGAGCAGTTGTAGACCGAGATCAGTCTCGTAATATCTAGGTATCCTTTAGATAGGCAACAAAATGTGAGGAATTCTATATATTACATATCACCAACTGTTCTCCGGACCAACGCCTTGGTTTTCAGTACTTCATTGGCCTACTACTAGATAGGTACCTTAGGTATCGGGTTTACTCCGTCCCTAATAAGTACAGACTCCCTTCCCCTCGATCCCTCCAGCCCCTCCCTCACAAGGAGACGGGACCCTCCCAGCAGCCTCCACTGTTTGGGTACCTGTAGACAGATTCCCTCCCTTTTCCCCCTCCATTCATCTCAAAAGTCACCCACCGCAAGCAAAGGGTACGACTCCAAAAGGATAAAAAAAAAAGTGAGGCCAACTTGAAGGGTGGAACCCCCAAATACATACATACCTACTCTCTATCGTCAAGGGCAGACAGAGTTTGTGAGTCATCAGCAAAACAACCCCAAAATATCAAGAAATAGCAGCAAACAATAGCCACTGCCCGATACCTTTTACCTCCACTCGCATAATCTTTCTCACCTGCAGATTATCAATAATCCTCGCCCAAGTCGAAATTGGTGACACGCCATTATCAGCCAATACCCACGCACCCTCGTTCGCTTTTCAAACTCTACCCGCATCAGACTGATATCATCTCGCACCCTCACCTACCTCTACCTCTACCTCAACATGGACGGAAAGCGACACCCCAGCTCGTTCCAGCAGCTCGAGAAGCTCGGTGAAGGTACCTATGCCACCGTCTTCAAGGGCCGTAACAGACAGACTGGAGAGCTCGTAGCGCTCAAGGAAATCCACCTCGACTCCGAAGAGGGAACACCGTCGACCGCCATCCGAGAGATTTCGTTGATGAAGGAGCTCAAGCACGAGAATATTGTAGGACTGCACGATGTTATTCACACCGAGAACAAACTCATGCTCGTCTTTGAGTACATGGACGGCGATCTCAAGAGGTACATGGACACTCATGGTGATCGTGGCGCCCTCAAGCCTACCACCATCAAGTCCTTCATGTACCAGCTCCTCAAGGGCATCGACTTCTGTCACCAAAATCGTGTTCTTCACCGCGATCTCAAGCCCCAGAACTTGCTCATCAACAGCAAGGGCGTTTTGAAGCTCGGCGATTTCGGCCTTGCCCGCGCCTTTGGTATCCCCGTCAACACATTCTCCAACGAGGTCGTCACCCTATGGTACCGCGCCCCCGATGTCCTCCTCGGCAGCCGAACATACAACACCAGTATCGACATCTGGTCCGCGGGCTGCATCATGGCCGAGATGTTTACCGGTCGACCTCTATTCCCCGGAACCACAAACGAAGACCAGATCATCCGCATTTTCCGCATCATGGGAACACCAACAGAGCGTACCTGGCCCGGTATCACACAGTTCCCCGAGTACAAGCCTACATTCCATATGTACGCCACTCAGGATCTTCGAAACATCCTCCCGGCGATTGACCCCAACGGTATCGATCTGCTGCAGCGAATGCTACAGCTTCGACCAGAGCTGAGGATCAGTGCCCATGATGCCCTTCAGCACGTCTGGTTCAACGACCTCATGATGCACCCTCAGCAGCAGGCTCTCCAAGCGCAGGCTCGCGGATACCCCCAGGCTGTTCCCACTCAAGGTTTCGAGGCGTATTAGAACTTGCCCCAGCCGCCGGTGGCGAGAGACCAACATTTCTAGTTTTGTCTGCGTCATGATCACAGCGTTTTTGAAGCGAGCTGTTTCAGTAACAGCGTCCCACTGCAAACCGAAAGAAGAAAATACCGTAATACTACGTGGCGACTATTTCTCAGCACGATGGAGTTAAGGGTCAGCATGAATTAGACAGGACAGGACAGGACAGGACAGGAGAGATATTGGATCTTGGGACAGCAGCGTGTGTCGGTGTCTTGATTCGTCATTTATTGTTATTTTTATTCCTATCATCAACTGATGTTGAGTACCTAGTTATGAGTACCTTGGGTCTGAGGGGGGATGGGGGGCTGACCCTCCTGGTTTTAGTCTATAATCCCACGAGCGAAATGTATGACTTTAATACTCATGGGCGTTCCTTTGGCCCATGTCTATTGACAAGACTGCCATCGACTGGGCTTGTGAATTTTGTGCGGAGAGGATCTTTGGCCCATGTTTCTGCGAGAGCCGGTGCTTCGTCCTTTTCTGCAGGGAAGCCTGCACGTTCTCTCAGTTTCTCGACCTCGTCTCTTACTCTCCTGGCCACCGATATTCTCAACTCAGTAGCCTCTGGGCTATTTCGGAGTAGTTCTGGGTCACCTTTCGCAACAAGCTTGCGCCATGCTGCCCGCTGCAGACCGAAGAGCTTATCAACGTCGGTCGGCTCGCCTATCACTATCTTGACTGTCTTTCCAACACGAGGGGCCCATCTGGGCCATCCTCTATCCTCGGCCATGATGTGCTGGGTACCATGGACGAACATGGGGATGAACTCTGGAGCCGGGTCAGATTCGAGGATCAGGCGAGATACACCCCATTTGAAGTAGCGCAATCCGCTCTCTGGACTTTGGTGACAACAAGCCTCTGGAAATACATGAACCCAGGCATTTCGATAGGCTGAGTAGGCAGACGGGGCTGAAAATTGATCGACGCCGTTGGTGGAGAAGAAGAGTGGTTGAGGAACCGGAGGAGGTCTTGTTGAAGCAGGAGTTGCAGAGAGAGGGGAGTCAGAGGCTGTAGACCATGAAGCTGGTGATGGGCCCGACAGCAGCTTGATAGCTTGTGTCATGGTTGGCTGGTATAGCCCGCCATAAGGAGAGTACCATAATCTGTGGGTGGGCAAAACCTGACCAAGACTGAAGAATGTCGAAGTGGCTCTGTTATTTATTTGGGTTGTCAGCTAGTGCTCCGCTCGCTCTTATTTGATGATCTTCGATACTCACTTATTCTTGAAACATATGTCATGCGCCCCAAGACCCCATCTCATGTTGGCTGCATCAAAGAAGTACCGCATTGGCAGCATGCCCCAAATAAGAGGATCGTCAAGTCTATATGTGTTATAGGTGGTTAGCATGAGCCGTATTGGATTGACATGGCATAACATAACATAACATACACTGCTACATGATTGCACACTGTGAGCAGCCCGCGCTCACGCCCTTCCCTTTTCCTACGGTCAAGAACCCCAAGAAGTCCTTCTAGGCCTGTGATCTCGAGGGTATTGAAGCCGTTCATAAATACTCTTGCGAATGCGCCAACTGAGCCCATGACAGTCGCCGATGCAATGCGCCATGGCAGACTTGGCTGCGCAGGAGGATCTGAATCTGGCATGGCAACGACAGTCTTGAAGAGATGTCAAATGATCATTGTAAAACACGAGCATTCGTTGAATGGGAAGAGATAAGTCAACCTTGGTACCTAGACAAGTGCTTTATACCTACCTCCGTACAAGTAAGTATTCCATCGGAGAGAAGCGGTTTATAATAGACCCACCTCCAGCTTTTTCCCTGTTTGCCTACCCTGTAGAAATGACATGGTGTGCCGCCAATTGAGGCATGTGCTGGGGTTGTATGGCAACTAGGTAGAATAAAAGTTAAGTTAAGTTGACGTTGACGTTGACCTCAACTTCTATTTCAACAGCCATCACTTTTGAATTTGTTCTTGTCGCTCGTGGTCTTTTGCAGAATTCATAGGTACTTACGAAATTCGAGACGCTGCGGCATAGAACACTCCTCTTCCAGCTTCTATCAACGACAACAGAAAGCTCCTCCGAGCCAGATATCGTCATGGTATCAGCACACAGTACGTTCATTCCTCATGATACCATCACAACGGCTGTCTTACCAATTAATCAATCAATCAGGTAAACGAAATACCTCCCGCCCAGTATTCACCTCACACGAACGCGCCCTCGCAAAATCCCACTGGTCATCTTCGTCCGCTCGCCTTCACCGCGACTCATTCCTCCCGTTTGGCTCATGTGGCCTGTGTCTCAATATTGCCCGCGAACCCGTCTCATGTCGGCGCGGGGATATATTCTGCCGCGAATGCGCACTATCGAACATACTCACGCAGAAGAAGGAAATCAAACGCGCCCAGAAGGCACGCGCCGCTGCTGAGCAAGAGGCCGCTAAGCAAAAAGCGCACGAGGATGAGCTGGATCGCGAGCGCGCCATTCAAGACTTTGAGCTGACACAGGCTGGTCTCGATCGCAAAAAGAAGCCAAAGGTAGCCAAGGCCGAAGATGAAGAGGCGGATGCGACCATCAGCGATTCGAACTCGCAAGCTTTGGTAGTAGGAGGTACGAAGCGTAAGTTTGAACTCGACAAAGATGAACTGGATCGCATTGCGCGCGAGGATAAGGTCAAAGCCAGGAAAGCGCTGGAAGAGGAAAAGGTAGGACTCTCAACCCTACAATGGTGTAGCATTCCGTATTAACCTAACTCCCTATCTTACAGGCTGCGAAACCACACCTCCCATCATTCTGGACTCCATCGCTTACACCAGACGCCCAATCCAGCAATCTCCCACCAGTTGCGAAGAAAGACAAGACCGTACCGACATGTCCAGGATCTGCATCCGACAGTTCCCACCCTATCACCATGCAAAACCTCATCACAATCAACTTCAACGAAGAGGAAACGTCAAAGGGCACACAGAGAACTTGCCCATCATGTTTAAAGATGCTCACAAACGCCTCCAATCCCATGATGACCAGAGAATGTGGTCATGTTTTGTGTCACAGTTGCGTTAAACAGTTCATGATCCCATCATCCAAAAGGACATCTCCCGAGGATGTCCCACCCCTGACCTGCTACGTCTGCGACGTACCTCTGACCTCCAAGTCACACAAGACAGATGCCACGCCCGGCTCTTCGATACTTGGCTTAATAGCCCTCCAGTCCGAAGGGACAGGCTTTTCAGCTCACGGAGGAAACACCGTGGAGAGATCAAGCGTCGCTTTCCAATGTTGAGACTCTCGCACTGAACCACGGCCCATCACTTCATCCGCAGCCTTCGTTGTCGCAAGTAGGGCAACAGCATCATTACCCATATACGAACAACAAACCGATGAATAACACCCTTGGTGAGCATTGTCAATCCGTGACTGAAGAAGCTCTTGAGGAGCTCTCCCTGAAGTCCTGTGTAGAGTGCTTTCATACCCTCATTGGTAATGATGCGAATAATGACGCCAAATATGGACTGATTGAGAAGATCAAACATCCTCCGCAGTATATGCTTGCGCCTTGAATTTCCGCTTTGACCTTTCTCTACCTCAGCATCCGCCGTGCTCACCGAGCTACTCGCCATTTGAAGGCGCGTCTTGCCCGTTTGGAAAGGATATGTGATGGCAGTGGCAGTAGCTTTGCTCGAGGCGGCAATCAAGAAGGCGATCCATGCCACTGGAAAGTCCTCTTCTTCGAGGGCTGGCAAGATCCGCGCTGCCAGCCGTCGATTGACAAAGAAAGTAATGCTAGGATTCAAAGTGAGCATCAGGGTAGCCGAGTAGCCAGACCAGAGACCTAGCAATCCGCTTTCTTTTCGAATCTCGGAGAGAATCTCCAGAAGGGACTGATCACTCCCCAACATCTGTTTCCTCGTGACAACATTCGAAATGGGGGTGGTGAGAGCCCTGGCGCACCCTCCAGCGATGGCGCCCACAATTAGCTCTTCGATAATCTTGGGTTTGCGATGTCGAGGGCGTAGATAGTTGTAGAAGCCAAAGAATAGAAAACTGTCCACGACCGACTTGGCCACGTCTGTTCCTAGCCCACTGTATAATGCCTTGATACCTCCTTCGTTGGCGGGGATACCTTTGAAAGCTGAAACGACACCATCGTAGTCGCCCGTAGAGCCTCCCGTCTTTCGTTGCGCCTTGAGTCGAGTCGTAACCAGGTCCAATGGGTACAGAGTTGCTGTTGATATGGCGGTCCCCACAGAGCCAGATACGGCGTGGCCAAGAGCATTGAGAGCCTGCTGAGACGACATTGCAACAAGATCAAGATACTGAGAATGCTCATCAATGTCGTGAAACGAAGTGATGATAGCTGGAAGGCATGCGCACGTACATGGTGTTAAAGAAGAGTCTCGAGCAAGGCAACATGAATGTTGAGCCGCATCTAAGTAAGTACCTAAGTAGCCCTGTCTGGTACTATAGGACTGTGATGATGAGCGACGTGCGCTATCGTATTCACGACGTCATAAGCCAACCTCGGCGCGGCCCCACCATCCAGTCGCCGCATGTGACCCATGTTCCGAGGCATGACGGGTACACTATCAGGTACCTAGACATGGAAGACTCATAACATTATTGTCATCTCATACAAAAGCAAAGCCTTCCAGATCCCGCTGTACAATACTCTTCCGTCACAAATAATATATAGCGTTTGGTATCTCCTCCAGGAATGGTCCGTCATTCAATCGACCTTGATGCGCTTTCAGAGAACGTACGTGTGTTGGTTCTGTTTTCAACCCTTTGCCTGTTCTGCAAGGCAAGGCTTTTTCCTATGCCCTGCTTGAAACTGATGGTTGTCTTTGAGGTGTGAATGTCGCTGTCGTCCGCCCAGCATTGTTTAAACCCGCAGTAATGTCTATCTCTCCCGGAGCATCTTCTGAAGCAGGTTGTAGCCCAGGATGGCCCTCGGGAAGCTTCTGTGCTCCAAAACCAGTGACTGAAAAAATATTTGTCCTTCCACCATTGGTGGCCATTTGAAGCTGTTCGTGTAATCTTGCGAGCTGGTATTGCCGCTTTATGGGAGTGAACGTAGGTTGTGGTAGCAACGGTTGAGGGCGCCATTGTGATAGAGCACCCATCACGGCCGTTGTTTCTTCGTCTGAATCGACTGGTCCGTTATTGGCTTCGTCTTCATCTTCTATCGGCGCGTTGGCATCAAGCGCTGCCTCTGTTGGAGTCAATTATTAGTCGTGTCCAGGCGGTGGGTGGACTAGATCAAGACCTACTCTGCTGCTTCGCTTGATTCTTCTTCTGGTACGCGGCAAGAAGCATATCGTATGGCAAGGATCTTCCCGCGACTGCGCGCTTCGCTCCCATACTGTGGCTCTTACATGTCAATGATCTTGCGCATGGCTGTCCATTGGGTAATAAGACACCACACTGCCGCTCCACGTCCACAGGCCCTAGTATCAGTTTTAGTGCAAGCCTCTCAAGAGACCTGTCATCAGTATCTCACCTTTTGGCTTGGGGACCTTGGCTTTCGGCTCATCCTTCTTCTTCTTATTCTTAGGTCCCTTGTCTGGATCACCATCGGCCTTGCGCTTCTTTCCCTTCTTATCGTCTTCGGGTTTCTTACCCGCGGCCTTTTTGGCAGTCTTGCTTCCGGTCGCTTTCTTCTCGGCTGAGATTCCGTCGTCGTCACTGTCGTCATCGCCCCGCTCAACCCCATTCTCTTCGTCCTCCTTCCGTTGTTCTTCTTGCCTTGCTGCCTCCTTTGCCCTCTCTCTTGCTTCGCGAGCCTCTTTCTTTCTTTGAGCCTTCTCTTTCTTTAACCGCAGACATTGCGCAATATGCGCCTTAGCGGCTGTTTTCAAAACGCTCTTCTTACAGTGCTTGCATTGTTGCAGGTCGGGGCTATCTTCGAGGGGTCGTCCTGTCGCAAATGTTTCGCGGGAAGTTTCGTCGAGTTCGTTTACAACAGGACCTGGCGAGGGTGCACCCACAGGCGAGGCCCCATTCTTCTTCTTGTCTTGAGAGCATTAGCGGCTTCGCCAAGCTTGTATAGGATGACCTCACTACATACTGTTACCCTCAATTACACTACCATCCATCCAGTTTCCAGGTTTGCTGTGTTTTGGCGCTGGTTTCTTCAACTTGATCTTTCCATTTTTGTTCTTAGATGCGACTTTGATCGTGCCGTCATCGCCTGCAAGCTGGGTGTTAGTCTAATGCAGTCGCGCATGATTAAAGTCGCGTTACCTTTTCGGGCATCCGTCCCCATGATTGAAGTCGGCGGCTGATATAGTTGCTGTTGCAGTAAGACAGTCTCCCTCGTATCGATGATGAACTCTGCTTTGATGGATCGTGGATAGGCTGGCTTCGAAAGGGATGGTCGTTGCGATAAGGCTGGGCTGGCTTAGTTGGAAGTAGGTATGGATGTTATGGTGGAGTTGAAGGTGTGGCTGCCTTCCATTAATGATACACGTGCCTGAGCCAGGGTCGGCCCACGCCTACACTATTTCTCCGGGGACCCCCACTAACATCTGGGGAAGACCCAGGCTCCGGTGAATGGAACCAGATATGTACCTGAACCACCAATGATAACCAGGATTTTTAATCCATTACTTTTAGAGACTGCTGACAAGGTCAAAGGACTGTACAACAGTCCTGAATTGGCTATTAACGCTAATATGATGCTTCAACAAAGACTTGGGGCATCTGGTCCCGAAACCATCCAAGCAATGGGCCAGTGAGTGTGCTCATGATTTTGAGCAGTATCTGAGCCATGGCCATTCCTGTTGAGCTCTGATAATACTATAAAAAAAGAAAGAAGTTATCAACACGAGTTGTGTAATATAAAGGCCTCAGGTGCGAGTAGCAACACTAGGCAGAGAAGCGATCATGTCTACCACAAGCATAAGTGGCCATGCCATGCACCCAATATTCGTTAACCATAATCTTCCGTGAACCTAAAAGTCCAGATGCAATACCCAAACCAGCCAACTCCGGGTGAAGAACGACACAATGTCAGCTTTTCTACCCCCAGGTACCCAAAAGAAGAAACTCGATGCCAATGCAGCCCACAAAGTCATTAAACACCGAACAAGATGCATTCATACTGTCCTAGACATTCCATGATTTTGTTCATAACCATGCCGATGCCTAGGCGAGCTATCATAACCGTACACTGCTTTCGACCACTTCCTTCTTTATCTTCATCGAGTCACGATAGGCCTTCATGGTATCCATCATGCACTTGGCATGAAGAATACCCATATCGCTCCATATACACTCCATCACTGCCACAACCCAGTCCCAGTATGCTTCTGGGACACCAGGAGCACATGCAGCGACCTGAAGGTGAAACAGAACAACGGGAAGCCCAGCGGAGCCAGAGCCCGCCCCTCCTGGTCTCTCGACTGGTACGGCAGCCTTTTCGGTGAGAAGAGGATGTCGCCAATGTGTTGGGGTGCTCACGAGAGTGTCGCGGGCGAGTTTTCTAACGACCTCGTATCGATGTCCGTACTCGGCCAACGAGATCAAGGGCGCGCTAGATTTGGGGTACGCTTTGATGAATACGATAATTGTCTGGTTCAAGAGAGTCCGCGCCCATCGGTAGTGTCCATACATCCGTGCAACAAACATATCGAAATAGACATGACACGCGCCATCGAATACCGCAGCTGGCGGTAGGTGTTCCGCTTTCTCTTCGCGAAACCGCCAAGTAGGCCCAAGGTTTCGTTCCCAACTAAGGAATGACTCGTCGATATCTAATAATTGCTTCAAGGTGGACACTGTGATAGAACGACCGTCGACCAGAGCATGAGTCTTTATGTATGTTGAGGCTTGAATGAATCGCCCAATCAATGGGCCGAGATCGGTAGCAGGATGATCGGCTGGGTCGAGGAGGGTTCTTGCAAACGAAATCCATTCGAATAGGGGGTCCGGCAGAGGTGTTGCGGACATGTGAGCAGGTATAAACTGTGTAATTATGTGAGTAAATTGGGACGATGTGCTTAGAAACCATGACATACAAGAGAATAAGACATCTGTACCATTGCACGAACACCGAGGAAAGCGGCCGCTGGCATAGGTAGCCATCGTCGCAACAGAGCAAGCCCACCCATAACGTGCGCATGAACGTGTCCTAGTCCTTGATAGGCTCCTTTGACAAGCTGGAGACGGGTATTAGCAAATCAAAAGCCAAGATTGGACAGGGGAATGGTAGATCGGGGAGATGGGGCTGACCATGCGGGTGTGTTGGCTAACATTGGGGGTCGGGGCACAAACCTCGAACATGGCAAGCATGACGACGGAGCGCATCGTGACCTCAAAATCCGGCATGCTCGAGGTCTGTACGAGGCGACCAGTCTGGCGCAAAGCCAACCCATATCGTTGACGGGCTATCGTCATCATGCTGGGATCGTCTTTGAGGTTGGAAAGGCTAGCGAGGCCAACCGCGGCCATTACGTCCTGAACAGCAGGGTCCCATAGCCATTCCGTGTGCGACAAATCGCCGGGGGACCTGGGCTCATCTGGATGGCCTATCAGGTAACGGTTGACATAGAACTGAACGCCCTGCTCCTCGAGACTTGGATCGATTGGTGGCGAAAGCCTTGGTGGCCGTATGACGATACGCTGTGCCGTTGAAGCATTTGAGGTTGTATGATATAAAGACGAAGCGGGAGATTGAGGAGTTGGCGATGCTGTTTGCTGGCTCGCAGTTGAATCAGGAGATGTTGGCCAACCATCTTTGAATGATTTATAGGAGGATGCTATCGCTGCAGGCCCAGGATAGCTGTGTAGAGATGTTATAGAGGAAGAAGCAGAAACGGAAGAGGCTTGTGTAGAGCTGTTGGACGAGTAAGAAGAAGCCAGAGAGCTGGAGGATGTTTGTGTTGACAGGCCCTCAGAGGATTCGCCAACCCCCCATTGCGCATGTGCTTTTTGTATCACCTTGCTGCTCTCGTCTCGAAACATGAGGGAGAGCTGGTCACGATAACCAGGGCACTTTTTCCCAACCCGAATACATTGTGAACATTCCGGTTTGATTTTGTCACACTGTTCAGTAGAATTGCAATTAGTCAAAGCCCGTGAATTACTGTATGTATAGAGATGGTAGGTCGTGGAAGACACAAGAGGATTAACTCACCTTGATACGCCGCACGCGACAATTCTGGCAGCCCTGGGAGGCTTTCCCACAGTAGACCATGGTCGCTGGAAGTTTTTGAATCACCACGGTGTCTTGCCGAGAGCTGGACACCGTCGATAATCGGTAGGTCCGGGGCAGTGAGATCGGGAGCACGGTGACGGAGTTCGTGGAGGCGAGTGGGTACCGGATATACCCTGATTCCAATATATAAGTAGTGATGGAGATAGCAGTTACGCTCGCCCAAAGCCACAGGCTATAAAACAAGTGGCGAACGGCTATGGGAAACTCGGGTCAGTTTGTTGATTGAAACCCTGACAGTCGTGTGTCGCATCAGAGGTTGAAACAATAGGGGTGGTCGATTGGAAGACAAGGCCAGGTAAATAAGCATCGCCAAATTGCAGAAAGGCAGAAATGCAGCGGAAAAGTGATAGGATGTTTAATAAGGTCGAATAACTGCCTCAAGAAATAAGTCCCATCCCGAGTAACTCAGGTAACGCGACGAATCGCGTGCAGATTGATTGACCTTGTACTGCTTGCGCTGTGTCTCAGCCACTCATCCAGCCCAGAGGCCCAAAGCACAACTTGCTCACTCGCAATTCTGACGCTATCGCAGCCGCCCGTGGCGAAGAGACCTAGAGTAGAATATAACAAGGAGCGCTGTCGGATTGGCCAGTATCCAAATCCAGTAGAGAACCAGCCTGTGCTGGTGCTGGTGCTGGTGCTGGATCACAACGGTCGTAATGGCGGTTAGACAGATGTCAGACAAGTCCGTTGTGTTTCCGATATGTTGGGGTGTCCCGCAGCCCAGGGAGCTGGAACTGGAATCGGGACGAGAGGAAAAGGAAGGAGAGGAGAATATGTCGACGTGAAATTGGCGGGGTATTAACTCATGGCCAAGGTAGAAAATAGACGTTTACTTTTGTCGGCACATGTGAGTGAGTTCAGCCAGTCCTCTCCCGTGATTGATTGATTGTGACGAGACCGAGTCAAGGCCAGGACCAGGGCCAAGAGGCTGGTGTTGTGCTGAACTGACCTGTCTTGTCCTGGCTTGGATATTTTCGAGTAAGGGTTGGTAGGTAGTGCGGAGAAAGGGTTGGCAGACTGTGTACGGTATATGTTATGGTATGATATGGTTGGTATAGGTTGAGGATTGGAGTGATCTAAGACGAAACAGACATGACGTCCATATAGAGAACAGCCTAATAGTCTGTCCCGTCGGACTTTATGGGAAATACTGTCAAAAGAAAAAAGTCGTTGAAAGATAAAAGATCAAGCAAGGATGAGAGTCTAAGTATGGTAAAGTAGAGGACGGAAAGGGAAGCCATCCATGGATGATGGGAGGTAGGTGCTCAGACGGGACAGCCCAAGTAGTGGACCCGGCTGTCCTAATTAGATTGCCTTAGTACCTATAAGAACTCGGGTAACTACAGCTAAGGTACCTAATCTACAGCTTAGTACTTAGGTAGGTACGGCGACAGTGCCAATGGAATGCTTGCCGAACCGACCTAAAGCCGGGCGCGGGCACTCGCGGTATCGTATCGCACAATCTACGGCGAATGTTATTGAGATTTCAATCTGTCAGCATTTTAATTAACGTGTGGACCCGAATCAATGCTACCTCTGACGGTTGTATCGAGGGAATTACCCATCGATCATACCTCATCTCGGCGATCGTCAGCCAGCATTGTTCAATTTCAACCCATTGGGTTCGATGGCAACGTAGCTGACCGAAATTCGCACGGAGATCAGGAGCTCAGCTTCTACCCGAGGTCATGACAAAATCCCAAGTCCTAGCCCAGGATGATACCGACATCCTGGATACTGGGAAGGTCCTTGGAGGTCTCGATGAGGGAATGGGGGCCTCTAGGCCATCGCTCAAAGTGGACTGCCAGGACTGCGTGATGTGGTGCGAAGTGCCACTTTGGATGGTCTGGGCCAACAGGGACCACCTTGCTTGCTATTGATCACAACTCACAACTCGAGAGGGGAAATTTGAAAGGATGAAGGTTTGCAAGGCGACGAGAAAGGTGGAGGCGGCACATAAAAGGGGAACACAGGCAGCCAGCCATACGAGATCATTGGGGGGGTAAGTTAAGCTGGAACTAACGTTAGTTTTAGGTGGACGTTTTTCTTTGATGGTTTCTGATAAGTTTACGGATAGGTAGGGGTTCCATCCAGTATGGAAAACCTTACCCGCACCAGCTGAACTGTATGAGAAACAGGAAGCATGGTCACGACCCAGCCAGAGGAGGTGAAGCCTTTAAGCTCTAGTCGCCGAGACTAAGGAGGCAGGGGAATGTTGGTTGCGGAATGGTCCATATTGCGGTTACCATGGGAGTGGGTAAGGCTGCAAGATACTTACCAGGAGACCAGATGAAAATGGAACGGCAGATGTTATCTGTTGCTTACGATATCAAAACACGGCACGGCAAAGGCCACTTGGCGCGTGGCTCTTCCAGCCGGCCATCCCAGTACGGGAGTCACGGAGGTAGGGAGACGAGTCGTGCAATACGATACACGCATTAATTCATCATTTCAAAACCGACGACAAAGTTTGGCCTCATCGACACAGACCTTGAACTGACTTTAGCTCTTGGCCGGCCGTTGTCGTACGTGCACTCTCTGGCTTGGCATATAGGGGTTCAGCTCTTGGAGAGCGGTGTGTTCAGGAAAACTCGAAACCTGCGAGGACCAACCAAGGGAAACTCAACATAGGCTTTTATAGGGAGGTAGTCCCTTGACTTACATGCATGTCGTCTCGACACTTCATCAATATCCGGACAAAAGCCGGCTCTCGGCCGAACCGATGCTACAGGGCTGCAGATTGTCTCGGGCTGGCGGCTGGTTGGCCTTTACGCCCGTCGTATCTCAAGGAGCTGCCTGATTCGCAATGATCCCAATGGATGCTAGCTACGGTACCTAATAACGACACAACCGAGCGGACGGTTTTATTAGGCTACTGTAGTAGTTAGTTACAGCACCTAAACTCGATGACGCGCGCAGCCAAACTCGGGACCGATTTCCCGACTCAGGACTACAGGTCGTGCCAAGAACCCAACCTACCTAACTTTGCAGATAGAAGCATTGGATCCAATGTTGACCACCAAAGGCCAAGCATTTTGAATTATTGCCCTCCACTGTTTTTCTGGACTGCCCGCGACTTCGGTAGATTGTTCAGGACCATTGAATGCCAAGTCGGAACCTAAGCAAGTGCCATTGGCTTCTTCTTTAACCGTTGAGATACCCAAGGTACCTTAGTAGTAGGTAAGGTAAGGTAAGGTAGGTATGCTTTTTTAGTTGTGGCTTAGGTAGTAAGTAGTACACTGCGCATCCGGTTTACTGGTGTCTTTCAGCTTCTTGAACTCCCAAAGCTGTCCCTCCACCTTAGTACTTACATGACCCCTCCAACATGGAAGGGAAGACAAGATCAGGGTGCTGACGGGAACTTGAGGATGACGTAGTCGACATATCCAACTCTATCTCGGCCTTCCCCAGATAGTAGGTTGTCCGGTCCAACAACACCAAAAACAAGTTAAGCCACAGACAGATGCTTATTATGTAACTAAGGTAATCTCTGTTTGTTCTTTGGTTATGTACCTAGCTACTTTCATCGTCTGCTGCAGGTTTCTTCCTGTCTAAGGTACTACAATATCTAATCTAGCCACACTCACCCTTGTCACTTGTACGTCCGCCCGCCTGTGGAGGGGCAGCGCAACGTCATACACTCTTCAACGACCATCCTTTTACATCATCCACCCAACCTACCTATCCAAGCCTGGAATATTATGGGAACACTGGATTCTGAAACGAGAGGCCGGGGATGCGGCTCAGAGCATGCTGCAGTAGCCTAGGGCCCTGTCAGCTCCATCGATCGACCGCGGCGTCATAACTTGAGCCGCCACATACGGATGATGGACGGGTACTTTTGGTCATGCTCTACAGCAAACAGGTAGTTACAACGTTGCACAGCTTTGACTGGTTGGACCCGGCAAATAACGTGAATCCTCCCAAGGGTTAAGGTACTTTCTAAATGGCTTCTATTCATGGCAGTCATGATGTATGTATAGTTACTGACCTAGGTGCCTTAGCTGGCTGAAGTGTTGTGCTATTTGTGTCCCTCGCTTGGTTGGGTTAAACAAACAACGACGTCAGACCTACCTACCTACCTACCATACCACCTCCCCCTCTTTGATTTTCCCCTTTCTAAAGCTGAAGGGCCTTTTATTTAAACTTGAACTTCCCCGTGACGCTCCCACCCTTTCTTTATCATCCCAGTTCTTTACTATACTCCATCTCACTCCCAAGATACCCAGCCATTCACGCTTCAACTGCACGACAACCAAAGATACCAAACTTATACAACAGCCATAGCTTAATCACAATGGAGACCATTAGCAACCTCACTGCCGCCGCCTCCAAGGCCGTTTGGGGAGACGATCAAACTACCAACAGGGAGCCCGTCTCTGGAGTCCAGGGCGACACCGAACACGGCGAGCCCTACGATGCCGGCAACCTGGGTACGACCTCAACGCTTGCACTAGGTATACAAGCAAATACGTTTAAATGATGTCACTGACATGGTTTGGTATAGAAACCCCCCAGCAAGAAAAGGTGGCACAAAACTTTGGCAGCCACGGTGAGGAGCGCGCAACAGGCCTTGGGCATGAAGCCCCCGTCTCCAAGCCCACGGAGACGACAAACGCTGCTTCAGCCACACCTTCAGTTCCCACACCCAACCCTCACTCAAAGGATACTTCTGCCGGCCAGAATGACACCCGTGACCCGGCACAGGCGGATAAGGGCAACAAGGACCTCCACGACGTTGACG